TTTTAATCCACTGAAAGCAACTGCTGCTAAAATAGTGAAGCGATGCTGCAATTTGGAAATTATCAACCTTGTCTTTGGAGTAGCAACAACATTTGTTTAGTCAAGTGAGATTTTGAGAAATTTGTCAAAATGCAACAGGTCATTACCTGTGTCAGAAGGAACTGAACAACAGGAGAGAAGAGACAGGTTACAGGGAAACAAGAGGGTAAAGACAGAAATGACCAAATTTAAAATGAAATTAATTTATACAGATTGTCCTATAATAAAGATACATTTTACTCCTTTTTGATTAACTCTTGATTAAAGGTCCTATGCAAAATTTACTCTTGTGAGAGTCATGTTAGAATGTTGTTATCTCATCAAAAACAAACCTGGTGTTTTGTTTCATTCACCCATGTCTGATTAATCCTTTATTATTCGTCTGTCTACATTTCCATCTTTGCTCTGTTTCACTTTCACCTTTAGTTCAGTAGAGAGGCAATTCCAGGGATATTTTTGATGAGGAAATAATATAACAAAGTGATATGGTCTCATTTATTTTCAAAATGAATAAACTAACTAAAGAAGAATGTTTAGGTTAAGAGGTGTTATGTGAAGAAAGCTCATTCAGTCTTTATTGAGTGTCCTGGCCAACCTTTGGTCGAATCAATGTCTGGCCAATTGGAGCAGACACACAAGATTTAACTAATGCCAATTCCTTTGCAACAGACAGTGACTACAGAGAAAGATATGTATGATTCATGTATTTTATGCCTGCTTGTGATTAAAACATGTTTGTAAATTCTCTGTACCTTTGCGGGCGAAATTCAAGTCCACATCTTTAAAGGAAACAACTACAACATCTGAGGCTTTGAAAATGATGCTCTCCACAATGTCCTCTTTTCTGGGACCTGTGTTTGGCTCTGTGCTCTTTCTGTGGGCAGCGTCTAATACCAAGTCGCACTAAAGGAAACAAAAAGGAAACAGGTTTTATGGTGTCATACATTACACATCAAATAGTTATTTATTTTTAAGCAATAATTTATTTTTATGTGTTTTTGATTTGCTTACACCCCATATTTTACATGCTTCATACACTACAGCTATGGTTACAAAGGCACTGAAAAGTACTGTTCTGTTATTCAAAGCCTCTTCCTCCACATGTGTCAACTGTTGCTCTCAGAACCACTCTTCTTCTGTTATTATTTTATTCTTGGCTTAAATCCAGGCTTAAAGACAGTGGCTTCAATGTCTCATACTTCATTAATGCAAAGATATTCTCAACAGTAAAACTGAGAGGAATACTTATGCCTAAAAGGGAAGATGAACGATCACATCTCTTTGCTCCATAAAAGGTAATACACCTCTGACTGCTGACTAGACCAGTTTCCAGGACAGAGCCTCACTTATGACTGACTTTTAATAAGCAAATTAAATGGCTAATTCCATATTTGTCTCCAAGAAACAATGCTTCGGGCTTGATACATACCTCTGGCCCATATGTTTTAAAAACTCCTTCATAGACTGCTCCATTTTTGACTTTCAGCTCACACTTGGTCCCCTATAAAAACAACAATACAGCCATAATTAATCACGGTGTGCACTCTGCATACACTCCACTCAATGTCAGTTTACACATTGAAAAACCCATCTGCTGTGAAATGGGCAGAAGATTGATCGAGCTTAGTCTGTTTGTGCCACCAGCTGTCTCTACAAATCGCACTGGCTTTGTTTATTGCAGAGTGGACATTTTGAAGAAGACAGGCTGCACAACATACGGCAGTTACTAATTTCTTACAGTGAGTTTGAGTTACATACACTGTGTTTGTGCAGTAGCATAATAAGAAAGTCAGCTGTAAGAAAAACACTCTGAAGCATTCAAACGTACCACTACTGAGGTCAGGACATGGACCATCCTCATATTAGCATACACGCCATTGAAACATACCTTAGGGAGAAAAACAATACACTAATCAATATACGTACACCTTAAATATAGATATTAAGTAGGAATGCACCAATCCAGTCTTTTCAGTTATGATACCAATTTCAACATATTTGCCGATAACAATCGATAAAGTGCAGGTCCAGAAAATAGCATTTATTTCCTTTACACAGAAATAAAATGAGACCAAACTGATCCAAATGTGTTATGTAGCTGTTATTTCTCGCTCATGTAACAACTGAACAGCTTTGTATAAATAAAAATGAAAACATTATGACACTTTCTGGGCTGACTACGACCTGTAAATAGTTTTATTAGCTACATTTTAAAACCCCACCAGAGTATCAACTGAGCCAATATTTGAAAGTCAATCTCCAATACCACTATAGGATCAGTGCATCCCTAATATTAAGTAAACTGTACAAATAAGAACACTATAATTGAATCTAACTGAGAAACAATTAGTTAATAATATACTTACAGATGAAGGGCCTTTCCCACTGTGTCGCCCCCTGTAAATAAATAATGAATGAAGTAATGCAAAGAAAGAATGAGTCAGTTAGAATCAGCAGTTACACATAATTTGCATATTAAAATATATTAGCCAGTGGAATTAAACACTTCTGTACATGTCCTAAATTGCCCCTGCATGCCATAAGAACATTAACGCATCACTCATTTGTACACTGATGAGTACCAGACCCAGAGTTGAACCATGTGTTAGAGCGTTTTATAACCATGCCAATAGCATACTATTAAATCTGTTAAAGCAGCACTGTGTAACTTTAAAGGTAGAGGGTCCAGAGAAGCACCAAGCCAACTTACAGGTTAAATTTGTGGAGAGGTGGGCCTGCTTACAGTAGAATGCCCATTTGTCAAGGTAAGGTATTGCTTTATTGTAAAAAAAAAAAAGCACCTATAGTTAAATAATAAGCAAGTTTAATGCCATACTGTGGTACATTCCAAGGAAAGCAATCTCCCTAGCATATCTCCATGGACACAACCAGGTGCTGGACTCTTACCAGAAGAGTTAAAAAATGCACCTTTAAATACAGAAAATTTCATAATGCCCCGGTATAAAATATACGCCACAAACGAACTGTCCTGTTGACCGTAGTAGAAGAGGGGCCTTAGCCTAATTCAGGACAAATTCACAATGCGCATGGACCTCCTCACGCGTGCACACCAAGTTCATTCATTTAAGGAGCACAGTAGCCTACATGTGTAGATGTGTCATGTTTCAAGGGCACGATTTCACATGAGTCGCATCGTCAAGGTTGAAAGACTGACGGTCTAATTTCTCTGTCCCCTCTCGCCCCGTCTCCACACCCACCTCGGTGCGCCCACATTTTATATGCAATTGATCTGGACAAGCGCGTCGCAGCGTTTCAGTGTTTTGGGATGCACATCCACAGGGGAACTGTCATATAACCATGACATTAGTTGCAGTAAATACAACAGCACTGAATGAGAGGCATGGGTTGTTAAATGGCAAATTTACGCGTGTATGATTGACTTGAAGATGGCAATAGAGAACATAAACAGCACCGAGTACAACAGTGCCATGATAAAAGCATTTACAAACGGAATGGGGCCCGGTGTAATGCATATTTAAGGAGCACTCTCGGGTTATCTTTTATTGTAGCACACAGGAGGCCTTGTAGCTGCACAGTACAGCACTACGTACGCTAGGCCCACAGACCGCTCACAAACGCGAAACAACGCGAGTGATTTTGGACCACAATCAAGGATGTCATCTCATGCAATCACCACTACTGTATGCACTGATTCCTGTGTCACTAGAGTTCATTACAAACGTGCGTCCTGTTGTGTTATTAACTCGTTAAATATACGGATGCACAGACCTTCCGAGACTCTGCCTTCCCCCGCCGCTTCCCCCGGCTCCGGAGGTGGTACCAGCACCGCTGCCACCGCCGGGCTTACTGCGATTTCCACCGGCCTTCATTGACATGATGATCCCATAAAAGAAACCGTATTAAACAATCTGTGCGGCAAAAAGATGTACAGCTGTGTGAAAGCTTGCTAGTGTTAGCAATCTGAAAATCTGACGTGCTAGTAAGCTAAAGTCAACGTGCCGTGCCTCGGAGGAAGATGATATGCTATGCTAATAAGATAGCGGGCTAACGTTGCTAGCTCAATTAGCAATCTGTACAATGCCTATTAAAACAGAAAAATATATATATTTAAAAAGACAACACGCGCCAATATGTTGTCCGAACGAAACATTGGGTTAGTACCCCTTAGTCGATTTGTCGTGTAAAGCTAACAAAAATGTATATAATATATAATTGGGTTTGTAGCTATCTCGGGTTCTTTCCGATGCTAACAGCGAAAAGACCAAAACAGTCTGAAAGGGACAAAAAACAGCGGAGGGATATATGACACACGTAAGGTGCATAATGTCTAATCCTGCTTTATAGAGTGGCACTCTGGCATTATACTAGCATGATAAAAACAATATATGGAGATATATGGAGATGTTGTGTACAATACACGAATGAAAGCAGTGAAGACCTTTATTTGACAGGTTTACAGTCGGATCATGGTACTATTTTCAGGAAGTCGCTCCATCCTCCCCTGCTGTATTGTGGCATCCACGTGAGCCGGTGAGCAGTGAACACACGCACACAGAAGCGCTGTCAGTGCATGGAGGGCTTTTAATTAGTATCTGCCAATTTTGTGATTAATTTACTTTACGTAAAAACAAAACAAACGTGCATTGCCAAGCCTAAGCCTTTAAGTTGGCCATCCACGTGTGTACCTGGGCGTACGCCTGAAGCAACTTCATTACAGAAAAAACATATACCCCTAATTCTTAATTTAATTATTTAAACTAGTTCAACAGTTTTGTTTTAATTCTAAAGGAGCCATCATTAATGGCAACTTGACAGAGTTGTCATATTGGAGATATAAATAGAATGTATATTCTGAATGAATGTTTGTGTTTTGTGCTGCATCAAGGTCCTTCAATGGGCCCAAATAATATGTTCTGTTCGCTTTAATAATTTACAATTTAACGTTTTGTTAATAATCAAAATACGAAACCATCCTTAATGCTGGTCGCTGTAGCCGTACAGTGTGTTTGTTTGTGTGATTTTAAGTTACATTGGAATTTATAAAAATACATGTATTCCCTGGTATAATTTCAGACAGGCGTTCACGCGGGACTCCTATAGCGTAATGTCGAGTCTGTAGTCCTTTGGCAAAGTGGGATTAGCCATGTAGCACAGAGCCGTGAAGTGAGCGAACACCTCTACCAAAAACTTCCTCTGCTCTGTTTGTCATCGATTCAAGACTTCAATTTAAAGCCTGAGGCCACGTTATTTTTGAGGAAGTGTAGTTGTTGTTTCGGTGAGGACGTCGAAGATAAAGTTGCTATCGCGTTAGCCCGATGTTAGCCCAGTCGCTTTGACATAAAAGGCTGCCCTGCGTTTCTGTTTACGGGAACACAGTGTGCCCCTTGTAGCGGACCTGCGTCTCTCGTTGTGTAATTATCCAACATTGCCTTGCCTATGAGACTGCCATTGAATCATAGTTGGATCATCTGTCTTGGCCAAATCACGGAGTGACATCGACAGCCCTGCTAATGATAGAGGTAACGCGAATTTGGGAATCTCGTGTCTTCACAACTGCTAAAAATACTCTCTGTGACTCCTTGAACCAGTGTGTCCGTCCACACTTTTGTCTTTTCTTGTGTGCGGGACAGGATCCTCAAACTACATGGTCCCCACACTCATTTATAGAGCACCCGAAGAGCGAAAAGGACCCCAGGGCGCAGAGCAAGTTGGACTTTTATACTGCACCGTGTGGGAGACAGTCTTTTCAACTAAAATGCTTGGAATAATAACATCAAAACTTTTTTAAGTTCAGACGTAAAGCCTTGTTTTCAGTGGCAACTCTCCAAAAACAAACTGGGTCAACTGTCCACAGCTGAACACAATGTCGGAAGATAACACCGCAGACAAGTTTATCAAGGTACATTTAGTTTTGGCATGATTAATGATAGACCAAATTTTATCTCAAATCTTATCTCAAAACATATCTCAAAACTTATCTCTAGTATGTGAACAGTAACTCCATAACAGTGTTTTGGGTTCATATCATAAAAGTTTCAGTTCACTTTTTAATTTTGAATTTGCATATCTACTTTTTTAAATTCATTTTATTAATCACTGGTAAAAGTAAAACTTACATATATTGACCATAAAGTATGACAAAGAACGACTGTATAACCTTCCACTAAGTAACTTTTTTGTTTTACTTCTTGAATTGAGTTTGAATGTTTACTATTATAGCCTATTGAACAGTCCTACAACTAAACCAAAATGTTTCCTTTTCTTACAGGAGACATCAATTCTCGATGAGTATAACATAAACTGGACACAGAAGTTGGGAGCTGGGATCAGCGGACCTGTACGGTGAGTTTAAGTAGTCTAGTAGTTGATTCTGATGGTGTTGGAAAGTTATGTTATTGTGGAAATATTAATCCTATAATATAGATTTTTATGCAACTTAAAGCGCACTTTTTCTACCAAATGCATTAAATTGTATCCCACAAGTATTGGAGCTATATGGGTCTAACAGCAAAGCTACTGCCAAAACCTCTAATTCCTGTATCTTTGGTATCGCTCTCATTCAACACATTAAAGGCTGTTTTTTTCTTCAGCGTCAAATTAATAGAATGCGAAAGTGCTGCAGAGCTAAACGCACCTGTTGGTCAAAAATAAGCAGTTGGTGCTCCTTATCGAGATTCATAAAGACCCAGGCGTGGTCCCAAGTTCTACACTCATGTTTGCTAGCTTCACACATGAATTATAAGGAGAAGAAGGATGCCAGCTTTGAACCTCTGGGTAAACCAAGAGTAAACATTATGCTGAATGCAGAAGGCTGATACAGGTTTAGGACAGAATTAAGGGTTGAGCACATATCTGAAAGCAACCTGACTTTGTACCAGTTATGTCGTCATCGGACTGTTATAGTATTAAAAGGTTGTTTGCTATTGTACCTTTTCTCCATCTCATATGAAATGCAACTGCTCAAGCAAGGTCTTGGATCCAGATCTAATCTTCGCAATATCTAAGCGATGCACATCAAAAGTTGATCTGTTAATGATTCATTAGAGCTTATGTGTTTCCATTAAGACATTATTTTCTTGCAGGATTTTTGCATCCTTGTAAATGTCTATCCTCAGGACTTTCTAATAAGTTCCATATATTTTATGCTAAAAACATAAAATATTGTATCACTTTATAATAACTACACCTCAATTAGCCTTAATAAAGCATGAACAATGACTTAAAACTCCTATATAACACAAAAGGTATTTTTGTAAGCTTTAAGCTGTTACCTTCTTAAAACATTTAGGGTATTAATTTAGTTACTAAGCTTGAATCTTTCTCAGTAAACAGTTTGTTCATTATGGATTAAATCTTTAAGTCCACGCTTCATTAAGGCTATTAAAATGTATTTATACTTTTGCTTCTCATGTTCACATGGAAACTAGCGCTTTTGTTATAGTCCAGCATAGAGGTTGACCTATATGTTTTTTTAATGGCCGATGCAATGCAGATTGTTTGGACTCCAGAGAGACAGATGACTGATGAACTCTGCCGATAGTTTTGGGACAATATATAAGAAAGATATAGATTATTTTCCCCAAATGATGTAATGTGAATTATTACACACTCATTCTCAGCATTTGTTTTAAAATGAACCTTTAAGAAAGCAGTGTCATGCTTTGTGCACTTCTCTCTTCACTTCACTTCAGGCTGCAGGTCAGTCAAAACAAAAAAACTGACCTGTGCTGGAAATTTAAGGCCAATAGCAAATGTAGTAAAAGTGCAATTATCGGCCTGATATATTGAATAACTGGTATAATAGTCTATCTCTAGTCTGGCATATTGTTGCAGGTGTACATTTAATAATATGCACAGCCCCAACTAAATAACTTAAAGAAGAAAGAATTGCTATTGCTTTCTCACAGTACCTATTTAACCACTGCTCCAGTTTTTGTCATTCATTTTTCATTTTGTGTTTTGAACTAATGAGTCATTCCTTTTCATTCAGGTAGCTCTTGCTCAGCCCCTCCCACTACACTTCTTATTTCTACATGATTCACAAGCTGATTGTCTAATAGCTGTACGTTGATGTCAGTCACCCCTCGTTCACCCCTCTCTTCGTGACTCTAGTCTCTCCAGCTCTGACTGTGATTCATTATGTCGCTCTGAATTTCCAGTAACTGAACTTTGGTCGCAGCCGAACCAAATGTTCCTCTCAGTAATGCTCCTTTATGAGAGCAGAGTTGAAGCAGTGAGGGAGCAGAAGGCTTATTGGAAATGTATTGCCACAGACCTGTAAGAGCAATTTGGTGGTAGAAGCAATATATTTAAATGGCCCATATTCTGATCTATGTTATTCTATTGTTTCCTCATCACAAACATACCTGGGGTTGTGTTTTATTTCACACATGTTTAGCACACGATTCCTGCGTATTTACACTGAGTTCTTATCTCAAAATGAAAACAGTTTGTTTCACCTTATGATGTCGTGTGGTAATAAAGAAAGTGCTTCACTGTGTTTTTAAACTGCATGCATCTTCATAAGAATCATTTGGATAATTTTTGCCCTGGAATTGTCAATCTCTACTAGACTAATGGTAAAGGGAAGCTTTTAACTTTTTAAAACTATCACTACATGACATCACAAAGTGGAACAGAGCATTTTGAACACTGGAGATATAGACTAATAATAACAGACATTGTTACTCAAACATATGCGAATAAAACAAAACACAACTCTAGGTATGTTTTTGGTAATAACATTCTAACATGGCCCTATACAGGACCTTTAAATATGTGGGGTTGATTAAGAATGCATTATCGACTAGTCCAAGGCTACATTAATAAACAGTTTTTGATCAGGATATTGTAAGTTCTAAGTATTAAATAGCTGACTCCATGCACTTCATAGAAGTTGTTTTGTGCAAAACAAAAAAGTTTAACATACATTGACACATTAGGGTTGAAAATCACAGGGTCCCTCACGAATCCATAGACAATATGGTGATTCATGCATTAACTGATATATACATCCTTATCAATACAGCAGCAGTGTTGGGCCAGAGCAGGTACTGCAGTGAGGCAGTGGTGACTCTTATCTCGTGCTGTGGTTGTGTCCCCAGTATGTATCAGGTGTGTGAGTGATCCGTGGTGGTCAGAGGGGCTGGTGGCACAGATTGGCAGCCTTGTTTCCATCAGTTTGCCCCAGGGCCGCTGTGGCTACAGAAGTAGCTTACCACCACAGAGTGTAGAATGAATAATGCACAAAATTTTAAGGCAACTCTGAGCATCTGAAAGAGAGAGTGCTTTTATAACATTAATTAATGATTTTTGCGCAACAGTTTTTAGAGATAGAAAAATATATTACAATAGTTTTTCTTTGTTAAACCACTGCTCACACACTGAGTCTGTAATAAACCTATTTTATCATCAAAACAGTGAATATGTGAACTGCATTACATAAACAGCATTGCTGCAACCGCTTGAAATGAGTCAAATTCAATATTATTGTTTATGAAAGAAGCTAAGCCACACTGGATTCTGTAATGGTCGCTCATATTTCCAGTGACACAGAGACTGATCCTGGTTTGTTTCTTTCAGCGTCTGTGTGAAAAAGTCAACTCAGGAACGGCTGGCCCTCAAGATCCTCATCGATCGCCCCAAGGCAAGGAACGAGGTGAGAGAGAGCCCTGTCCGCAGCTGATTAATGCCTGTTGTCTTTGGCCTTGTGCATGTGCTCTGTTCTGTCTCCCTGATTGTGTTACTTATAAATGCTCCCTTTGTCAGCACTTTGCACTCTTCTCACCCTTAACATCAGCCAGTGCTCGGTCCATGTGTGAATAGGCCCAGTGATTACAGAGATATTAACTATAAAGCTGCCATTATGCATTATGATAAAAAAAAAAATCTACCAAATTTCTAACTTAAAACGCCATATATTGCGCAAAATTCACTCATGCCAACTTCTGTGTCATGTTAGAATGTTGTTATCTCCTCACAAACATACCCAGGGTTGTGTTTTGTTTCATTCACACATGATTGAGACAATTTGTTATTAGTCTGTCGACATCTCCAAAGCTTAAAATGCTCTGTTCCACCCTGTGATGTCGTGAAGCAGCAGTTTTCAAGTTAACAGCTCCCTTTTACCTTTTGTTCAGTAGAGATCAGCAATCTCAAGGCTGATATCATCCAAATGATTCTAGTGAAGGTTAATGGACTGGAGTTTAAAACACAGTGGAGCACTTCCTGTATCCCCACATGACCACATACCGCAAGGTGGAACAGTGTGTTTTTCATTGTTTTTCAGTTTGAGAGAAGACCTAAATATAAATATTCAGGGTTTGTGTGTCAAATATGTGTTAATGAACAACAACAAAGCACAACTCCAGATACGTTTTTGATGAAGCAACAACATTATAACATAGATTAGAAAACAGTGTAATACAGGCCATTTTTAAAGCTGCTGTGATTTTTACTGTATAAAAAAATATGATAAGCAGAACTGGTTTACTTTTACGAACACATTAATTCCCAGCATGCTTATTATTCACCACAAGGCCAGAGAGGAGTTTTGCCAGTTCAATTAATTTTAATGTTTGGTTCACTGGAATAATACTAAATAATTTGAATTAGTGTTATTAAATATTTTACTAACATAGACTGGTTTAAACATAGATAGCAGATGTTTGATTTAAAGACATCAATATTTAAGTGTGGCAAAAGTTTAGCTTAGTTGTTCTTGTAGCCATTTCCAATGAGGTAGTGCCATTGATAAATGTTTTACCACAACATTTTTTAATGCATTAAACTTTATTTTTTAGGTGCGCCTCCATATGATGTGTGCCCAACACCCAAACATCGTCCAGATTTTGGAGGTGTACGCCAACAGTGTCCAGTTTCCACATGAGTCCAGCCCCAGGTAAAGAAGTGCAGTGTATTCCACGTAAGGCTCGTATCATTTTACTGTCTGGTTTTATAAGTCATGTTCCCTTTTGTTTCCATCGTCACAGAGCTCGACTCCTCATCGTCATGGAGATGATGGAGGGAGGGGAGCTGTTTCACAGAATCAGCCAACACCGACATTTCACTGAAAAGATGGCCAGTCAGGTCACAAAGCAGGTGGGGGCTTTATACAAGTGTAGAAAATGTTATGTGTACAGAGGTTTAATACTGCCAATGGGTTGCTTTCACGTTATAATTTCAGATGGAGGACAGGGGCCTATATAACATACAATCTTATGGCTCACAGTTGTTGTAAAAGAAATTAGATTGTTGTAATTGTTGAAAAAGAACTTAATCTGGCTTGAAGATGGAAAAGTTTGGACACACCATTTAATTTCATCTTTATTTTTAATACTTTCTTCATTTTAGATACATACTGAAGTCCTCAAATATATGAAGTAAGATATATGTAGCAAAGAAAAACATTACATTGTATTTTTTCTTTGCTTTGTCGAAAAATATTTAGTAATAGTAGAGTTACTTCTTAGTTCATATATTTCATGGCTTCGATATGTATCTAAAATGTAGAAAGTAAAAAAGTAAAAATGAAGAGGGAAAAAAAAAAACATTGCGTGAGAGTATCTGTCCAAACTTTTGAGTGTACTTGGTGGTAGAAACATTGTGTAAGTGTTAAATTTATGTGTGGTCTCTTTGTCACAGATCAGTCAGTCTTTGGAACACTGTCACTCTTTAAACATTGCACATCGAGATCTAAAGCCAGAGAACCTGCTCTTCAAGGACAATTCTCTTGTGAGTACTACATCAGCACAAAACATCTCCTTTTTTTTTCTGTTGTTTGATTTTCTATACTACACATTTTTTAGATTTTAGAACAGACAACTACTTTTTTTCAGTCTATCAGTTTTTTTCTGCTTATCTGGGGCTGGTTTACAGAGTTTCTCTCCCAGATTTCCTTTTCCACACACATTTCCTTCACTCTTCCTGGGGGGGATGCAAGTGTCAAGGTTTAGAGATATAAATTCATATTTTTTGTCTTTTGTATGTAAAAAAATAATGACAACATAAATAAAATAGTGGTAGATAATAGAGGGAGTTCTTGTTATTGTCATCACACTGCCCATCATTTGGAATAAAATGCTGCTGAAACAAAATGTTAAGATGCATGTTATAAAAGCAACATGGAATACCATAATATATTTTGTTGGATTTACAAATTACAAAAAAAAATCATATTCCCTATTCTGTCTCTTGTTCCCAGGATGCTCCAGTGAAGTTGTGTGATTTCGGTTTTGCCAAAATTGACCAAGGAGACTTGATGACGCCCCAGTTCACTCCTTATTATGTAGCACCTCAGGTACTCTCATCCCAGTCAACTCTTATGAGCACATGAGACTACATTTTAAAGAGTTTTATTTTTTTTCAGGTACTTGAGGCACAAAGAAGACACCAGAAGGAAAAATCTGGAATAATACCTACCTCACCCACTCCCTACACGTACAACAAGGTAGGACCACAAATGATTCTATGATGCCATTAACCGTGATCCAGAGTACCTCAGCATCGTATTATAGAGAGCACTTTTGGGTTTATTATGTTATGTTTTTTTGACAACCCAGAGTAAAAAAAGCTTGTTCTGCTTTGTGAATGATCCAAACTTTATTGATCCACAAGGGAAATTATTTCATTGTAGCTCACTCATCACAATATAATAATAATATAATAACAAAGAGTGAAATAAAAAAAAAAAGGTAATTATAAATTCTAAATAAGAAGCAAAAAAGATGGCAAGAGACAGGTGTCAAATAAGGTGTAATTATATAAATGTATATGTACAAGTCAAAATAAAATAGAAAAATAAGTAATAAAATATAAAATCTCAACTATATACAAGAACTCAACACAAAAATGTTCACATAAATAGCTTAAACTCATACTATGAAACATTCCTGGTGAGAATGTCACCACCTGCTTGCCTTAATAGAAATGCTATTGCTTTGCCTGATAGATTTAAGTTTAATGCCATACCGTAAGACAAATGTTCTGTCTGTCTGTTGTATCTGTCTGTCTATTAGATCGATCTGTCTTTGTATTTGTATATCTGGGAGATCTATATATTAGAGCTATCTAAAAATACCTTAATACATGTATTATTACAATTAGCAAACTTGTCTTCCCTCAGTTTTGACCTGTATCTTGGCCTGGTTGCATCACTGCCGTAGTAGTTCAATACTGTGAAAAATTCTAGGCAAAGTGATAACATCTCTGTGGAGAGTAGTAGCTGGCAGTACCTCCACCAAAAATTACATAGTATACTTAATCTTAAAAATCATGTGAAATTTTTGGTGTCAGTGGGTTAGTGCTTCAATCCCAGTCCTAACTTTGTGCATTCTGTTGTAAATTGTAAACACTTGCACTTACTTTTCCTACGTGTACTACATTTGAATGCATATCTATGTTGCTTTCAGAGCTGTGACTTGTGGTCCCTGGGTGTGATCATCTACGTCATGTTGTGTGGATACCCTCCGTTCTATTCAAAGCACCACAGTCGAACCATCCCCAAAGACATGAGGAAGAAGATCATGACCGGCAGCTTTGACTTCCCCGAGGACGAGTGGAGCCAGATCTCAGAGATGGCCAAGGACATCGTGCGCAAGTAAGTCATTTTACACTGTTGCTTTTGAGGTATTTGAAATAAGTAACTGTTACTGTTATAAGTTACAGTTCTGTTAAATGTATTGGCATTGATTACTATTGACTTCTCTTGATGTGGTGGGGTAAGTTTTGGTATGAGTGATTGTGTGCTGAGGAGGAGTTGTTTCAATGACAATGTAAGCAAGTATAAGTCAATTTCCTCCTAATAATTTGCAGTGACATAATGTAGGCGGTGTTCTACTTGTATATGTATTGGCATAATGGTCACCAGTTACCATGGAGATGCAGTGCACACAATAGAAAGCACTACTTTTAAGATAATCTGAAATCTCAAGGGGAAAAAAAACTAAATTGGTGTAAACAGCACATTTTTAGGAGCCTATGCACTGTAACGGTAGTTCGCCTGTGAAGTGTTAAATTAAAAGTTCTGCTTCTCAGGATAGACTTTAATCTGAGCATTAACAGAGCAGTGCTTTCAGTTAGCTTCATATCCCTGGGGAATGTTGTAGACATTGGCAAATTATTCATCTGCCGTTTTATTCCCTTTGGACATGTGATTATGATTTGTTTCCATAATTGAGCAGCTCTAAATTTCCAACTATTTGGGCCAAAATCTTTATGAAAACTATTTGAAATTATTCTATTATATATGTATTTACTGTCCAAATTTACCTTGTAGGAATAGGATTTGCACCGGGTCTCATGGGGCAGAATGAGCGGCCATATCGTTCAGAACAGAATTTGAATGACCACAACATTCTTGTTATCAAGTAGTAGATCAGGTTATATGCACAGCCCTTATGAAGAGTGTGTTTTTTCTTGATGAATCCTGTGTGTTTTGTGCAGACTTCTGAAGGTAAAGCCAGAGGAGAGGCTCACCATAGAGGGAGTCCTGGCCCACCCGTGGTTAAACTGCACTGAGGCCTTGGACAACGTGCTGCCCTCTGCACAGATGATGATGGACAAGGTGTGTACAGAGACCCCAGTCATTAAGACTGAACAAGTTTGGAAACATTTCATTCTCATTACAAAGTATTGCAATTAGCATGGATTTTTATTATCTTTTTAAAATGTGAAAAACTGAATCAGTTCATTTTAAACAGTTTGCAGTGGTCTAAACTTATTCCTCACATTCTTATCTTAATCCTAGCATGCTAATTATTCACAGCAATGAGTTTAGAGCTTTTTACTACTTTAAGAAGCCAGAGCAGAGTTTTGCCACAACTAGCAACAGCTAGTATGCTAATGGCGCACCTACTTCCTGGTCCACAGACTTTAAAAGTGCTTTATAATTAGATGTGGAAAGCACACAGTGTTTTCAGCCTTAAGTGCTTTTTAAATAGATCATATTTTACAGTTTATACAGTAGTTCTGTTCATAGTTTGCCTTTTGCACATTCTATATATTCCAGTCTCTTTGTTTTTCATTTGTTTTTATTTATTTATTTATTTAAAACAAGGACAGTGCACAGAAAACATTAATCTCAGAGAAATGTTGCTCTGTGCCAGATTTAGCTTCAAGCTACTTTCCATCTGCAGTCCTTGGGCCGAAATAAAACACATTAAGAGACTATTTACATGAAACCAAATTTGATTTGCGTGCACTGGTCTTTAATATTGTCTTTTGCTTTTTCTGTTGGTAGGCTGTAGTAGCAGGGATCCAGCAGGCCCATGCAGAGCAGCTGGCCAACATGAGGATACAGGATCTCAACATCAGCCTCAAGCCCCTCAACTCTGTCAACAACCCTATTCTCAGGAAACGAAAACTACTCGGGTACAGTGAGAATTTTGACAAACAACAGAAATTTTGTTTTAGCCTTTTGTCTGAATTTTTTTTTTTTTTTTTCAACAAAATATTGTGCTGATTTAGCTGATTACATTTACAGGAAATTTAGTTGAACAAAAAGTTAATATTTTTAATTAAAACTACATATATCTTCAGATCTGATTTCCTCTCCTCTTGCATTTATTTTTGTTTTATTAATTAACAAAAATATCTGTGCTTTTAGTTATCACTGTTTACTTTTTATTTACCTTTCGGGGGTCTCTGCAAGAATATTACATTGACAAAAATTTAACCAAAATACATTAATCTTGCGTGGGCCTGACCTTTTTATGAAATTATGCATTATATATTATATAATTAGTTTTAACTCTCATAAATCTGACAGAAATGTGTTTTGTTGTTTGTTTGTGCAGGCCTAAGCCCACAGATGGTTTCTTCATTCATGACCCAGAAAATGGAGATGAAGACTTAAACATCGCACTAGAAAAACTACGAGATGTCATTGCACAGTGTATACTACCCCAGGCTGGTCAGTATTGAGATAGGAGAGCACCAAAGCTCTTTATAAATGTGTGTGTTTTTCTTTTGTAATAACATGCTGATATTTCTGCAGGAGAAAACGAGGATGAGAAGCTGAACGAGGTGATGTACGAGGCCTGGAGGTTCAATAGAGACTGTAAACTACTCAGAGACGGGCTGCAGGGACTCAGCTGGGACGGTCAGTACCATCCTTCACTTAGTATTATAGACTTATCTTGCATATAATCTATTCCATTCAGCTACACAAGTCTATTCTATCAATACAGAATTACATTAGGCTAAAACAATATTGCAATTCCAATTATAATAACAATTTTATGTTTTTAAATCTAGGATTGTGTGCTCAGTGCTCATTCTTAACACATTTGAGTAAAGACTGAAATATGAACTGCTGAAGTATGGGAAGAATCTCATGTATTTCAGAACATGTTTGTCGAGGTCTGAACTATAAGGTTAGCAGGTTTCTTTACAAACACAGGACGTTTGGAATTGAAGTTGCATATTTCAAAAGTCAGGGACACAACTTATTTATAATTTTTTTTTTTTACAGATTAAAAAACAAAACAAAAAAGACTCCACACTCAAAGCATACGCTGAAGTACAAAAAAAAACAAAATATGAACCAAATTCCAGTCTTGTCAGAATAGTCAAAAAGGGCATTCATGTCAGTTCAAAGGGGACAGGACTTTCATTAAAATAAAATCCTTGTGTTTTGTTGTCACAGGACATGCTTTCTCTGATAAGGTGGACCGGTTGAAGTTGGCTGAAATCATAAAACAGGCCATTGAAGAAAAGACAAATCTCCAAGAATCCCATTAGCAAGTGCTGTTTGTTCTCCTTTTTATATTGTTAATTATGATCCTTTTTAACCATATCTGTAAAGAAGCTTTTTTTTATGTCCAATGATGCGCTGATTTCATGTTTTCATGAATTCACAAGCACGACTTATTGTACAGCTGTGAATACATTTCAAAAGAGGACTTATTGCTACTAACATTTTTATGGACATGTGCAGAGAACATGGTCAAAATATTTTCAGTTTTGCAAAAAAGGAAAAAAAAAGACAAACGAAGGAGGAAACCAGTCCAAGAAATTATTTTCTGGGAGAGAATTTTTATTAGCAGTTAGTTCAATGTAGTCCAGTGTTTTTACCCCCAATAATTTAATTTAGATGTATTTTATTTTGAATCATCATACAGACTTTATTTATTTTATAAAAGAGTTCATTGTTTTATATATTAACTGTAGCCTGGCAGTAGTAGGCTCTAAAGTAAAGACGCTGTCCACACTGTGACCCTGTGTTCTTCCATAAACTATTGCTGGATTTCAGATCACAACATAAAGGAAACTGAGTAAAATGAATAACACTAATATAAATAATTGTTTTCATAATTTTTATATTAATCATGAAAATGTATTGAAATTAATTTGGGAAAACCAGCACCCATTGAAAGTCTCACATCTACAGCCACTAATTCTGAATTTTTTATTCACTTAATTTTTAGCTGTTCAAAAATAGACACAACATTTAATGTTAAAGTTGATAAGAAAGGACAATTTAAATTGGAATTACTAGTTTAAAGTGTATCTACATTTTGCACCACATTTTCCCATTTGGTCTAACCTCGTTTTAATATACAATTTTATGTCATCTAAAAGGATCAGTGTTTAAATAGATAATTGACTATTCTATTGACTATTGTAGATACATTTTATAAATATTTTTAAGTGTTGTAACTTTTTAACAATTGTATTTTCCTTTTAAATTGTCCCTCCTGTCAGCTGCTTTGTGTCACCAACATAAAATGAAGTTAATATTGAATGCAGCTGTTGATATATTTCTGGCATGAATTTGTAAATTAAGTAACTTTCAAAATCTGTAAACTGTGAATTCAACAGGAATCTAAACAAAATGCAGAATAGTTTTAATGCTACTTGAGCCTTTTTCAGAAACATTTTAAACTGGAGGAGGGTCAATGAGCTCCTCTATTGAATGTGCAATACATCAGTGACTTCACATAGGGCTGGGCGATATGACATTAAAAAATAAACTGATCCTTGTGGCAAAATGCTATTTTAGTGATGCCATCATAATGTGATTGTTTGACTTAGACAAACTTTATTGATCCACAAGGGAATCTATTTGGACACAGTAGCTCACACATCACAATATAATATAATTTTATTGTGCAAAAATATAATCCGTAATATTAAATACAGTGCAAGTAGCAAAAATAACAAGAAACTGATGTCAAATAAGGCATAATTATATAAATGTATATGTAAAAATAAAATCTAGTTTACGAGAGGTCATAAGGAGAAATGTGCAAAGATTAAATAAGCTTCTGTCATGTCAATCATTTAATCTATTTCACAAGGGGGATGATTCACAGTCTTTTTTCATTTAAATATAGTACTATGCTCAAACATGGACAGTGTTTCCCACCTACTCCTCCTATTGGTCAGCTGCTGTTATTTTCTGAATGAGTAACAGGTGGGTCAATCCAATCATAGACAAGTGTGATATTTCAGAAGCAGCAGATGGTGTTAGTAATCTCTACTCGTGCCAATTTTTATTTTCCATATACTGAACAATATTTTTTCTCTAATAGAAATTGATTAGCAATGCAGACAAGGTGCTTTATGCAATCACAATATACGAAAAATTGTACAAATGATGAATGTGCGTGAAAGTTAATTTGGGCTCTATTCTGCAGGTTTACTTTAACTTGTTGGTTATGTATTTTGGCAAATATTGGGTATAGGTATCTACTGGGGAAGAAAATACTTATCAGACCATCCTCTATCTCTAAACAGTCATATAAACACTACAAATCTTACAAATTATTATATGGATCATGATAGAAATCTTAAAGGTGCATTGCATAACATTTCTAGTGGAGGGTGTGCCCCCTGATGTCTCCATGGAAATATTATTGCTTTGTCTAGATTGTTCCACAGTATCTATCATGAAGGAGACACGCAGGTTACAGCACTACACTACATTACAATTCAGATCTGTGGAGAGTCACCCCTATTCACAGAAGGAATTATCGTATTGTTGAGCAATAGAAACACACGTAATGAAGAAATGCTAGATGGATATGTTTAAAGTCATAAAAGAAACATTCCCGGCAAAGCAATAACATCACCATGGAGACAAGTAAATAGCAGATCCTCCAGCAGAAAAGTTGCGCTGTGCACCTTTAACTGAAATCTAGGCTCTAAGAAAACCATTATATGAATTTTCTGTCATATCGCCCGCCCTTATGTCCACATCTCATTTTGTTCATCGTGCTTGTAGTTAATGGTAGTGATAGTACTATGTAGCAGTGCATCAGTATTCCAGTCCAGCACAGATCTTCAAGCTTTTTATCTTCTGCCTCTCCTCCATCTGCTGCATTTTAAAGAAGGGAGAGATGTAAAAATGAAAATCTCAGCATAAAAAAGCCAAGCTGAAAAAAACAGTGCTTTACTTTTACCGAAATAACATGTTTACCTGATGTTGACGCCCATTTGAAGAAGGGTCGTATTACTTTAATGTGAATCCAACAAACCAATCATAATATTTAAAGGTGCACTGTGTAACTTTTCTGGTGCAGAGTCCACCACCTGCTTGTCTCTATGGAGATGTAATTGCTTCACCTTGAATGTTATATAGTATGGAGACAAATTACTGGTCAGATCTATGGAGAAGCAACACTTGTAATTGAATACATACAAGGCAGATAACTTTAATGCCACATTATGGAACAAATAACATCTCCATGGAGACAAGCAAGTCGCCAGCCGTCCACCTTAGAATTTACACAGTGCATAGTGTTTAATATGGAGGTGGAGGGCAGGGGAGAATAATATAATATGATGAATTTGCCTTTAATTTGTCAGATTGCAGATGTTTTAACCTGGTTTATTTTTTTTAATTAAGCATCACAAATGAACTAAAGTTTTTGCATTTTTAAGATGTGCAACCATGATTGAATTTAGATTAAAAGGGCCTATGCACAATTTGAACCAAACCAAGTGAGGAACAGGCTTTGTTCTCTCTCAAACCATGACTGAGAAAGAACAGTTGTTTCTCGTCCCACCATATCAATAAAAATTTCTGCTCCTGGCAATTGATAACTTATGGTGCTTATCCAACAGAATGTATAGGCAGTGTATTTTTGTCCACAGATAGTTGGTTTTACAATATGCTGTAGGCAGTAAAAGTTATTTTTTGATAGGGAAGAAATAAATTGGATACAGACCATAGGCTGTATACATAAATGGACATAGCTGCAGTGTTCCAAATAGGAAGTAAGCATGGGAGTTCTTCCTGCTCCATCGACTCTGGCTCCAATTCACTTCAAGCTGAAAAACTGTCGCTCCTCTCTTAGTAACTGCTGCTGTCAGACTCATCATTTTGGTCACAAAATATTCCCCAATCTACGTGATCCTTTATTTCGCTATTTTATCCCATAATCAAGAAATGAACATTAATAACAGACAAATCAGGTGCCTTCTTTACCAGAGGTTGCTTTTGCTAGTGTTAACAACAGGTTTGATTGACTGCTCCCTGCTAAACCAGCGGGGCACGCGGGAAGCGGAGTTACCTTCAACAGCCTTGCTTCGGCTTAGCTCTTTGGTTTCTCTGATACTCGTGGCAGGAATTCCATATATCCAAATTCGCTCCATAACTGCAAGCCTCAATTAACTTTATTTGACTGGAGTCAAATTCTGTGGGTGACATTACACTCATTTGGTTCACTTCTTTATACAGTCTATGCAAATGTGGCAAGTTTGTTAACCCAATCCCTAAAACTAATCATTTGTAGATTGTATGGTTGGATATTTAATAAAAAAAAAATGTGCCTGTATAATTTTGTAGGCCCCTGCCCTCCATCTGAAAACACATGGAATTCTAAAACATGAACACACTTTATGGAATATTAACACAATCTGGAAGAATTTTGTACATTTTGTGACTCTTGAGCATTTCTGGTGAATCACAGCATGTCGAAAAGCCTTATGAATACATACATAGCATGTTTTATGCTCAAACGTGCCTTTTTCAATCTACACAATGCTAATCAATGCTACAAGCCTCTCTACAACTGTACAAAATAATTTAAATATTTTCTCATATCTGAAATTGTTTGTTAATTTCTCTTCTAATTTATTTTGATTTTTCAGTATTTTTGTAAACTTCAAATCTCAGTATGCAGTCATTGTTTAGACAGAGTGCAAGCGAAGTGTTTTCATATAGTTTTTGTAAGTGCGCCTTATTTATTACATGGTTTATGCTCTTAATTAATTTATCTCTATAGCATTCTTGTTTTGTATTTATTAAGGGTAAAACCAAGATGCTTCCTTCCAAATTTACAGGCAAAGGTTCCTCAGTCATGCAATCCAAAGCTTTAGTCCGCCCAGTGTTACGATCCTACCTACCTCCATAGTAGCTACATCAGGAGGCCCTTGCTATTTTTTCATGTGAGCTTTCTGAAAATTAATGCTTTTTTCTCAAATTGTAATCAAGTGCAACCATTGATTTTGCATAGTACTGTATACTGACCATAGGTGGGTAGAGTAGCCAAAACTGTACCCTAATAAGAGTACCATTACTTTTAAATTATAATACTAAAGTAGAAGTTTTGACTCAAATAATTACTATTTAAAGATTTAGTGAATATACTGAGTAATTGTTGGAATAATATCTGATTTGTAATTTACAGTTTAAACTAACCAGGTAGACAGAAGATTAAATAATGCAAAGATACTTGTAATTCCAAAAAAAGGCCTTTTAACAATGTTTAAGGTTTACATAAATGTTGAAACCAAGATACTAATATATACTATAGCTAGTGTCGATACTAGATCAATACTGAAAGAAAATCACATTAACAAGACAAAGATTTGAAATTCTTGAATATTTTTTTTAATGGCCTTAACTATTACAAGGCCACATGATAATATTAATGATACTGCTATTATTTTGTGTTTAAAAATTGCCTAAAAGGAGCCTTTATTATCACGGTGGTATCAAAATCAGTGTTGTAAATCTGGCCTTTTTATTTGTTTTGAAATGGTTTGAAAATGTAATAACAAAAAGCACTTAGACATACTCAGTGAGAGGAGTAACCCAATGCTTTTACTCAAGTAAGAGTACTGCTACTTCAAATATTACTCATGTAAAACTACTGATAAAAATAGGATTTTTTTTTCAAAATGTTACACAAGAAATACATTTAAATATGTAATAAATATAATAATACTACTACCCTCATCTAATACGTTCTAAAAATGGTTTCACTGGCCTTACACTTTGCTGCCGTTGCTTCCTTCCTCTCATTTCTTTGTAATTGCGGAGTCAGGACAAATTGACACTATTTTTGGTACAGTGTGTGTCAGAGTTCATGAAATCGTTTTGGGGAAATGAAATCATCTTTAACAACGCCTTTTCCGTGGACGGCGTTGATGTAGCATGTACTTGGATCATAAAAGACTATGTTTTTATCGACTTGTCTTTTCTGGAATGTCATCAACATGCTGACTTTGTAATAAAGAAAAGATTATCAATGGTCCTCCTGGTTGTTCATTTCCAGAACTAACACTTTATTATTGGAGTAGTAGTTTCCATCAAAAACTTTGGGATCTATCCTCCTTTATTTTTAAATTGGAATGAGCGATTCTTTTTGTCAGACAGGAGCATTTGTTAACCTGCTTTACTGAAATCATCCATATCAGACCACTGCAAGAGACAAAACTACATTATGGACTGCAACAAAGCCAGGACCATTTGTGCTTGAACACAACAAACACCTGGATCTGCTGGATCAGAGAGGCCGCTGAGGTCCAGACAAGGTCCAGACAAGGTCCAAAGAGCATGAATCACGAAGAGAGGGCATACACCTTATCACACACATGTGATGCAGTCCTGGAGAAGGTGTCCCCTACTGGCAAAACTAAGTAAAGCAGCCTACAAGACACGTCACTACACCATGTGATGCTTCAGAGGAAGGCTAGAGGAATTTAGCCAGGCTGGCGCCACCCAGTGCCTCCGCTCATTTTCATTTCTCTCCAGCAACTAGGTCAGAAATCAAAATACAATAGATGGTTCGCAAAAACCCCAGAAGTGCAAGTTCAGGCACCAGCCAATCAGCGCAGAGCCATATATTCAGTGATGTCAACGATTCCTGAGATTGAGGATTTAAAGCCGGAATAAAGAGAATGTTTGGTGAAATTTATCAAGGGGAAAGACGTTATTGTCCCTTCCTACGGGATTTGGGAAAAGCTTAATATACCAGTTAGCCCTGTTAGTGGCGCATTACATACGTCACGACCAAATAATAAAAAGTACCCAACTAATGTAGAGCAAACGAGATCTAAGGCTGCGAGGTTAGACGGTTTGTACAAAGTGAAACGAAGTAAAACCGGCTGATGAATCAGTCTAACAGGAAGTAGCTGAAACACGTAAAGCAGGCAAACTCTCCAGTCTGACAAAAAGAATCCCTAATTCTAAGTAGAAAACACTAAAGGTTTAAGGTTAAATATTAATTAAATACATACATACAGTGGTGCCTTTGCATTTTTCTGTGAGGAAAGAGCACTACCCACCAACCTCCTATTCTGTTATAACTATGGTACATTATAAGACTGGGCTGATAAATGTGTAATTTAGTTATAGGAAATGTACCAAATCCTACTCACATCAGCGTTCATAAATTGCATGTGTTGTTTTAAAAAAAAAAAAAGGATTTAATTTCCACACTGATAAGGCACTTTTATTCATATTATTCAGAATGATATCAGAGCAGCAGTAAAAGGACAAACATACTCCCAGTATTAAAATCAAAGGCTTGTCATTGAGATATTAAGACATTTAAAAAGTTAGATGTAGGCAGTACAAATTGGAATGACAGAGGTAAAACTGTTTGCATGCTTTTGGGAAGGAGAGGAAATGTTTACAACGTGAGACAGTTTAAATGTACATTATTCCCATTAAGCTCTTTTACGCACACAATATTAATACACTTTTTAAATTCCCTTGGTCATGTCCAGCTAAGGACTGTGAAGCCTCTTATACATATATATTTATAAAAAAAATTTTTTTTTACAGCATTTGAAGCAACATTGGTCAGAACTGTGTTAATTTTTTTTGCTTAAAGGTGCACTATGTGACTTTTTGATGGCGCCCTGCAGGTCTCCATGGAGATGTTGTTGCTTGGTCTGAAATATCCCACAGTAAGGTGTTAAACTTCTTGCATTGTTATTCACAGGCATTTCTATTGCTTACAAAATACAGTCAAACACATTCTGAGCTGTAATTTGGCCTGGCGCTTGTCTTTATGGAGATACATTTAATGACATACTGTGGAACATTCAAGCCAAAGAAATAAGTTCACCATTAAAACTACATGAAAAGTTAAACAATGCACCTTTAAGCACTGAGGAATTGAGAAAGCAAAGAAAGAGACGTAGCCTTTGAGTGTAAATTAGACACTAGACACTCACAGTCTAATGTTATAATCCGCTGTGGTATTTTAATGCTCTGTTTAGATGGGCTGAACATAAGCTGAGTGTGGAATGTGCTTTTCCAGTATATACATAATTTATTATAACCTCAGCCCACACAAAGCAACGGAAAGGCATTGAAGTGAACACATAAACCACTGCTATGGCGTTACAGATGGAGACAGCGGCCAGTTCATGTTGTTGTTTAATAATATAACTCTTATTCCTTCTCCTCTTTCCTCCCCGCTCCCTCCCCCCAAACCACGATGGAAGACCAGGATGTTGCACCAGCTCAAACCCTCAGTCTGAGTCCTCATCGTCCAAATACTCCTCAGCGTTGCTATGTGTCCGAGTGATATCTGAAAATACAAAGATAAGGCTTAAGTTAAAAGGTAATGGCATTCAGACTGCACTCTTCATTCATAACCGTGACTGACAGTGCTTAAAGGGCCAATACTGCACAATTGCAACAAATTACTGGTCTAAGTTATAATGTTGTTTCCTCATCAAAAACCTACCTTGTGTTTTGTTTCATTCACACATGTTTAACCCACACATCATCTGATGCTGATAGGCAGAGGTGTTGTTTTTTGTGCACTTTCCCAAACCATGTACTGATTTCGGAGCATGATCTGGGGCAGTTCTCTTTTTTTCCTCCTCCCCTTATCCTCATGTTATGCTGCAGTGTTTATTCCTATTTGCTACCTGTCTCTTGGTCCGGTCCATGTTGTTATCCACGTACATTTGTAATGTACGGACGGGGGGAGAGTTGCAATTTCGATTCCTTTGTATGTACATATACATGTGGAGAGAATTGACAATAAAGGCCGTAATTTATTCATTCATTCAAATCCTGCATATTTAGACTTCTTCTTTCAAACAGAAAACACTTGTGATGTCAGGTGGTAATACAAGCATTGCTCCACTTTTTTTTTAACTCCATACATCTTCACTAGAATCATCTGGATAATTTCAGACCAACCAATCTCTACTTCACAAAAGATAGCTGTTAATGCTTCTTGACATCACAAGGTGGAACAGAGCACACTGAACTTTGGAGAAGTAGACAGACTAATAATAAAGGATTACTCACATGTGTGCAAATGAAACAAAACAACTCCAGGCATGTTTTTGAGGAAGTAACAACTTTATAACATGACTTCAAGCTCAGAAAAATCTATTTTTCATAATACAGTAATAATAGCTGCAGGTCATCTAGTAAGTATTCAGATTAGAGAGATTTCGCACCAACGAGGGCAGGGTACCAGTACCAGTTCAATATTCAACAGTACCAGTAGTATATTAACTTTTTTTTTCTTTTCATTTTATGCCTTGTGGGTTCTTTCAGTGCACTATAGAAAATACATAATGAAAAACCTTAGAAATGTTATTCAGTGGAATTTATGCACTGTAATAAATTTTTGTAATTCTCATGATTAATATAGGAAAGGTACAGAAACATTTATCGTTAGGTACCAGTATCAAAGACCACTTGGCATTCAAGTGCTGGTACCCTTAAAAACTGCCAAGTCTTAGTTCGAACTGATTTCATTAGTAAGATCTGGCAAAGGTGCTGCTTTAGAGTAGGATGATCAGCTTAGGAACAAAAACACTAAATGAAAACAACTAGAACTTGACCATGTGCAAGGTTTTTGTAATTAAAAGTTTGTACTTTGGTGGGTCCTGTTAAAATTCTGTTTACCCTATCTTTAAGAATAATTTTTGGGAGTAACAGTAGTGATTGTATTGTACTCACTGCCTCCCTGCTTCCTCTTCAAAAGTGATGCACACTGGGCATTGGTGGCCATCTCCAGAGCGAGCTTGTTCTCATTATTCCTGATGTCTGTCCGCGCATCTGGAAGAATATGTTACATTATTAATAACACATTTCAGTAAGAGGTTAAGGTCTGGCTTGATTGTGATTTGTGCGTTGTTTAGGTTAGTGGGAAACTGAAGTACACAGAGTAAACCCACCCAAGCACAGGCAGAAAATGCAAACCATACAAAAACACTATGTCCTTGCTTTGAGGGTCCTAAATGATAAATGGAGCTAGCCTAAATTCAGCCTGGAAGACCTAACTTCTTTCTGCACCTCAGCCTTCATCACCTCATTCCCATTACTCCTCCCCGCTGCTTGCACACCTCCTCTTCATCCTCTCATCGTCCTCTTCACTCTCCTCATCCTCTCATCTTCCCCTTTACTCTCCTCATCCTGTCATTGTCCCCTGATCCTCTCATCGTCCCCTTCACTCTCCTCATCCTCTCATCGTCCCCTTCACTCTCCTCATCCTCTCATCGTCCCCTTCACTCTCCTCATCCTCTCATCGTCCCCTTCACTGTTCTCATCATCTCGTCGTCTCCTTCTCTTCTCATCCTCTCATCGTTTCCTTCTCTCCTTCACTCTCCTCATCCTTTCATCGTCCCCTTCACTCTCCTCATCATCTCATCTTCCCCTTTACTCTAATCCTCTCATCATCCGCTTCACTCTCCTCATCCTCTGATGTCCCCCTTCACTCTCCTTCTCTCCCACTCTTCACACTCCTCCAATCGGCCATGCCCTTCATCATTCTGCCAAGGTCTGCACGCCAGAGAAAACTCATTCTCCTTTCTCTTTGAGTCCGAGTCTCTCCAGGTTGAAATACTACATTCTGGTTTTGAGGGTCCAATATGATAAATACTTACTCTTGTTCAACAACATCTCCACCAGGTCAGCGTAGCCCTTCCACGCAGCCGCATGCAGAGCAGTGTCTCCTAATTTATTCTAAAACACAGAACACAGTCATGGTTTAAGGTGACCACAAATTAATCTGCATATCTAGTGTGACCAGATTTTCAAAATTCTTAATTGGGACACACCCGGGTTGGGATGGTTGGTATAAAATCTTTTGAGCAAAAAGCGTGTAATGTGCATGTCAGTCATGATCTGAGGGTCTTCTGCCACTGCATTTTTTTTTTGCTTTATGGTCATTTGTAAAGATGGTTTTCTGTATTTTGGCAAAACAAATAACAATTTATGTTCTGTTTTACTATTGGCAGAAATCAGATTAGTTGGAAATTGTGATAGTCCTGATTTAGTCCTGGTTTAAAGTTGGTGTAGTCCTGGTTTAGTTTCAGTTTAGTCTTGGTTTAGATTCGATTTAGATCAAATTGGTCAAAAATAGGGACACCTGGGACATTTATTGATAAAAATGGGGCAAATCACTGGTTTTGGATAAATCTGCTGGGGCAGGGGACACAGGGCTCAAAACTGGGATTGTCCCGGGTAAATAGGGATGTCTGGTCACCCTGTGCATATCTCAAAGTGGACTCCAAACTTCACAATGCAACAATACCTAGACAAAATCTAATTGGAACTGCTCGTCTTGATCATAGGCTCCTGAGAATGTTATGTTAAAATGTTTTACTTTTTTTTTTTTTATTGAGTTTTTATTGAGTTTCTTAAAAACATTGTGTTTCCTAATCTATGCATTGTGTCACCATGGTATCTGATAAACATTTCACCAATAAAAATAGATGTGGAACACCTCCAGCATGATCTCACTGCAAAGGAACAATACACAGAGCTATCTCTGTTAACACAAGTGTGAGGAGAACAGGTAAAGTGAGTCACTTGTGATTAAATAACACTGAAATGCGTGGTCAGCCCTAGACCACTGAAACTTAAGACTTAAAAGGTATTGACTGACCTGTTGGTTTAGTTCCACATTGGGCTGGCTTAGCAACACCTCCACCACATCTTAAACAGAAAAAGAGAAGTGTCAACAGTCAAATGACACATACTCACAAAATAATGACATAGGAACTAAAAGAGGACAATCTAAAACACTGAAAATGTCAACTTCCTTTTTTGTATTAGGATTCCCTTTGTAATTATGTGTAAGTTTTAAAATAAAGATTCAGTTCAGAGTGGACATGAAACTCACCCAGGAGCAGTGGCATTTGAAAAAAAGACTGACATATCAAGAGCTAAATTGATGGAAGAGTCAGATAGGGATGTCAAAAGTATTGAAAATCAGATACTAATCAACACTAAAATAGTATTGAAACTACATACTAATTTGAGCTGATATCAATACTAAAAAAGTCACATTCGTAGTATAGAAATTTATGTTTCCTGAATAGCTTTAGAATGATCTTCTTGAGCTGTATCAGAACAAGTGTAAGAGCACATAGACGAGTATACACCCATGGACCACTATGGAACAAACCTGAGGGGTTACACAGATATAAAACGTCATGGGAATATAAAATAAAGTGCTACAATTTAATGCTGAAAATCACATACTATTGTCTAAAATGGTGTTTTTAATTATCATTGCAGCTGAGTCTCTTTCTTAATATTGAAATCAAGTTAAAAAGAATAGCACAATATTTAGTGGACGATTTTTTTAACCTTTGTGTCCCCCATGGCATCCCCAGTAGAGGGCGGTGTTCCCAGCCTTGTCCAGACCATTGATTCCCACTTTGTTCTCTACGCATTCCCGTAGCCAGCTCAGATTTCCTGTTTACACACACAAATATTTACACAATCACAAATTAATAAATAATAATAATAATCATAATAATCATAATAAACTACTCATATAGCACTTTTCAGGACACTCAAAGACACTACAAAACAAATATTAAAACAGTCAAAAGAGCAATGGATAATACAGTAAAAATAAAAACAGTGAATTATAAAGAAATGTTTTTAAACATTAAAAGCCAAGATTTGGCTTCATAATTTGAAAATGCTTTTTTGGTTTGGAAATTAACACCAAAAAATATTTCAAAATGTTGTACCTCTCTTGGCTGCCTCGTGCATTGGGTTGTCAATGGATTCTGCATTCTCAGCCACTGCAATGACAAAATGTTGAAATAATTACATAAAAGTCTGGACAAACAGAAGGTTAGGTTCACATTTTGCTGCTTTAGTAAAAGGGATCATTTCACTTCAGTTGAATTGTGCTGACTAAGAAGACTTTGAACTTTGTGCCACTTTTTTGGATAGGTACATAAATGACATAATATGAACTATAACCTCGGTCAAAACTTGGATATTTTATCTGGAATGTTTTCACCAGTATGCCATTAAACTTATTTCAATGAAAACAAGCAGGTGTGCCATCAGGTCAAGTTAAGTTATAGGTCAGAACTGTATTTCAGGCGATTTTTGAGCAATAAAACCCCTATAATTACACAAATCAATGTCATACTCCATGGAAACAGGCAGATAAGAGAATTGTAAGAAATTATTCAACATTAAACTCATTACTAATAAGGTACTCTGTCTCACGAAAGGAACTTAAATCTCTGTAATGTCACAGTGAGACGCAAATGTTTACACTGGGTAATTTGTTGCAACTCTGGTATTGCACTTAACATCGAAACTATGGAGTGACTGATGCTTTAAACTAGACCTGTCACCATAACAAACTTTGAAGCACAATATATTGCTACAGAGACATATGGCAATAAATTATAATACTGAAACTACTTTATGCAACTGACACAATAAAATAAACCAAGATAATCCCAATTAACCATTTTTCAATCAATCAATCAACAACTTTATTAATCCCAAAGGGCAACTCAGTTTGCACATCTCTGGTCGTACACAATCTATAAATAATAAAAGAAAAAGAAAAACAGATGCCATACATTCAAACCTCTTTCAGTAAACAATGTAATTAAAGGACATGTGCAGCTACAAATGAATAGCAGAATTAAGCAATAATCAACCTTTTTCTGTCCTGATGCGATGAGATTTGAGCTGTAATCTCACCAATATTGCAAATAAAATACCCACAGTTAACATTGAGCCCCAAAATATATTGTTCCAGCTTTCATATATCGTACGATAAGTCGATATTGTAATTATCGTAATTATCTAAATGTAATTGTATTGAATCTTGACTTGCCATAGTTGCTCGGTATGAACCCCGTCCTCCCTCTGCATGTTCCTTTCCACCAGTTACTGTCACTCTGGAGAGACCAAAAGGTACACATCTTTAGAACTGCACACATTCACACATTCATAGTAGAATATAAAATAACACAATAAACAATATAGAATTAAAATTAAACTAGATGGGTAGAAATTGGATAGACCTACTGTGTCAGAGATGTAAAGGATGTCTCCCTCTTCAAAGTACAGTTCAGCTGACTTTCAAAATAAAAAGAAAAGATTGTTTATATCATTATTTTTGAAGTAAATTAAGGGAAAAGTGCAACAATGCTGATCCTATCCTCAGATGAATAAAAGAGATACTTTATATAGTTTCAAAATTTAATCACAGTTCATGTTTTAAGATTTCAGTTATGTTGTTCTTTGCAAATTTTGTTGTTCTTTTTTGAAAAATCTAAAATTTCAACTTGTCAATTGATTTATGATTTTAATAACATATATTTTTTGTCTCTAAATGCTCTTAAACAGAGATCCCGTTCATGTCAATAGCAAATTTGAGAGAAATTTCACCACTTAAATATGACATAAAGTAGGTTCTGTTATGCAAAATGTAAAACCAACAAGTCAACACTGCAACAATCCCCTGGTGAACTTCAAAACAGCTTTGTGGTTTGGTTTTATTTGCTGTCAAGAGAGGCGGCAGCCCCATGTAAATTAATACAACCCAAATGACGATGGAAACACGCACAGCAGCTTCCGAAACAAGAAGAAAGTGGAGGAAATAAATTATAAGTGATGAACTGTAATGCACTGCACAAAGTAATAGATATTTAACCATGCATTAGTAACAGTATCTTTCTAGAGACTGTAGGGAGAATCTTTTGTAATAATGCAATAAAACTTACCGATCTGGGGTCAAAGGTGTATAAGGCTCTGTACGCTTTCACTTGGCCTGGAAACAAAACAAAATAACACATGAGAAACAGCAGAGAAATAGCAAATGCTGATAACTGAGATAGTGAGCTGATCCATGTGACCATCTGCTATTTTGGTGAAATGGCCTCATAGTGGCTCAGTGCTTTTCTGTTGAATGCCGCTCTTTGCTCAAAAACAGCAGGTACTTCCCGCTCCATCATCCAATCACATCATGCTCTGAGTGAGTGACAGGTGGACTTAACCAATCACAGAGAAGTATGACCAGCTTTAGGTTACTTACACTAACCTAGAATTAAATCTGGACTGGACCAGGACTAAAATAAGACTAAGACACAGACTATTTGTGAGGGATGTAACGATATCCAAGTCTCACGATACAATATCGTCAAGGTATGAACTTCACGGTATGATATTTATTGCGATATTTTGTGGAGGCTAACAAAACTGTCAATATGCTGCTTTTTCCTCTTAAAAAGCCTTCAAAAAACTTAACCCAAAGGCTTAAAAGTGCTTAGAACTGTTATTTCTTCTTGTAGTCTGCACTGAAATGGAGCAAAGGCTCATGGTCTATGTAGTTCCCTTTGTCTTTTTTTTTAGCTAAACATAACTCTTAATTTAAGCAAAGAGACATGTAATTCGATATAATGTGATGGTCCATGATATTATTGTGAGAACTATGACTATACAATATCATGATATTTCAGTTATTGTTATATCCCTACTATTTGTATTAAAACCAGGCAAAAATTAGAGCGAAAATTAGGAAAAAAAAAAAAAAAGAAAAAAAAGTGAAGTAAACTTGGATCATGATAAAATTGATAAAATTGTCATCTAGGCTCCAAGAAAATAGTGATTTGAATTTTTCAGCATATCAACCACCTACGTGTACAGACTGAGAAAACAAAACATCCAAACTATTTATTTTTAAGGTATGAAAATGACTTGCTGCAGAAAAGTAACACCCATATGCACAGTTCTAAAAACACTACACTGACAAGAGTCTTTTTATCAAAGGCCTGCACACGTTGAGGTCCTCGTGTGGTTTGACAACACGAAAACCAACAAAAGGTGAACTATGTCAGAGCAAAGGCAGATGCAAACTGAACAAACTTTTATGATCTTTAAATAAACAATAACTACCACATAATCAGACTCTTTTGAAAGCTGTAGGCCATATCTGTTTACACGGGAATGTCCCTGTCTGGAAAATTAAACACTCCCAGTTTCTGTTTCTTATTGTGTAATTATTGGACACTTCTACTCCAAACGTCAGCAGTCAGCAGTGAACTGGCGATGTGCAAATGGGGCAGGTTTTAATGCAAAAGCAAAAAATAGCACAATAAAAGCAGATCAAATAAAAACAAGATAAAAATGTAAAAAAAAAAAAAAGAGAGAGAGAGAACACCCACAAATACAACAACCATGTCCACTATCCACTGCAAAATATGAAAAATAAATAAAGAAAGAAAGAAATTAATAAATAAGACTTTCAGTTACCAAGTCAGCCAGAATACAAAACAAGTCATTCTTGCACCTGTGTGAATGGTTGATCAAAAAAGATCCTTCAAACCTTATAAAATAAATTTTCTGAGTACTGCAAAATTAATAAAATTTTCTGTCATTTAAGATGAATTAACACATCTTTAAATTTTCTGGGCTGCAAAGGTTTTTCTTTACAGTACCAATGTCTGGATTTTGTCAGGTTTAAAGGACGATGCCCTTATCCCGAACAAACTCAAACACCACATTAGTTCCAAGAGCTCTGTGTGGTTAATTCATTATTCACAATAAAATACAAATAAAAACAACCCATCAAAATGTTTTTTTTTCCTAATAAAATAACTCAATTTACTTCATGGCAAATGCGATACTGATTGTTTAGAGTCCAGAGAAACTGACAACCGATATGTAGGGCTGAATTTGATCATTAAAATCAGAGCATTTTGAGCTTTAGAGACGTAGATAGACTCAAACATGTGAATGAAACAAAACTAGGAGTATGTTTTTGATGAGGTAACAACTAGGGATGTGCAAAAATATTGAAATATTGATATATCGTATAATTTAATGTGATGATACAGTATCAGTATCGTAGGCTGCTGCATCAATATACTGCCAAGAGTATTTTTTGGTATATTTTGCTACATTATTTTGTTACAGCGCTACAGTTTTGTTGCTTGTTTGGAGGAAGGACACTCGTTTATGCAACACATTTGACATTTTTACTGTTTTGATGAGTAAAATGGGCGTGTTTTATATTAACTTTGCACAACAAGTAGTTTAACAAAGACTTTTAGTATCACAGCCATGATTTAGCCTTTTTTTTTATTGAACTGTATCGCATTGATTTTAAATATATTGAATCGTAAGCTCACTGTATCAAGATATGTATCATATCGTGCCCTTTGTATCCAGGTATGTATTGTATTGGCAGCTTCTGAATGATACCCAGCCCTGGTAACAACATTTTGACATGCCTAAAAGAGTCAATTTCAGGTAAAATGGGTCCTTTAAGTATGGTGATGGCCAAACATTTTAAAATCTCAGAACAGTAGAAATATTGGTTAACTACTGTACTAGAATAATCAGTAATGACAGCTCTACTACTGCTGTGTTGCCGTTTGCTTTTAGCTCCTTCTCTTCAGTCCTGCATATTGGCTTGCAGCAGTGAAGTGGGCCTTGTGTTTAGCGAGCACACAGCACACACAGGCTCAGTGTATTCGAATGGGAGGGCTCACGGCTGCACATAAACTCTGCTCTGTTAACCACGACATGTCTCCTGTGCAGGCCCCGTCATGTCTGCGCACACAAATGTACTAGCTATGGATCCCCGCATTCTTTGCCTTTGGTCAATCAAAATACAAAACTATAAACATGTGGATTAATCATTTCATTCAGTGTTTTTTCTATATGTTTACTACTTATAACCATACAGAAGACATCAAGTATATGAAGTAAGATGTATGGAATTATATTTTAGCCATTATGTTACATTATTTAAACTTGTGGGTCCCAACTTTTGACTGGTAGTGTAGGTTTAAACAGGTTTTCTTACCCCTTTTTTACATTTTAGATACATACAGAAGACATCAAATACACGAAGCAAAACATCTAGAATTATTTAGTGACAAAAAAAGTTATTTGCAATTTGAGGATTTGGCTATATGGTTGGTTATGTTTTGTTTTTTCCTTGTCTATATAATTCCATACATCTTACTTCATATATATGAAGTCATCTGTATTTATATCAAATGTAGAAAGTAGAGAACATATAGAAAAATGCATTGACTGAGAGTGAGTCCAAAAGTTTGACTGATAAAGTATATATGCAATCTGGATTAAGAAAGAATGGTAAACCAAAAGAAAGGGGTATAGTTCACAAAAATGAATTTCTCTCTATATTGTTAGATTCTCTGAGTTTATTTTTTTGCATAAGAATTCAAAGCAAATGTGTCTGTAAATGTCTTGGTTTAGTGTTGCACAAAAAGTTAACGGCTTTTCACTGGTTTTAGTTTCCTGTTAAGAGTAGTATCAATTCTAAAACTAGTATCGAAATTATATAATCATTTGAGCAAGTAGCCACAAAATTTACATTCACAAGACAGAAATTAATAATTCCTGAATAGCTTTAGAATGATCTTGAGCTGTATCAGAACAAGTATACGCCCATGGATGGACTATTATGAAACATATCTGACGACTCAGGGATTGTACAAATATAAGGTCACATGGTAATGTAAAAGAAAGTACCGTGATTTAATGTTGATGGCTATCTACTGTCTTAAGAAAGAGTGTTTTTTATTATCATCGTGGTATCAAAATCAGTATTGAGCACTGGGTCAAATCCTTAGTATCGAAATAGAGATTGCAATTTTAGTATCGTGACAACACTAGTAGTAAAGAACATTTTGTGGACTTTTCATAATTCAAAAGATATAATATTTTCGTTTAAATTGTTAATTGCTATGGCAAGTTGGCAATGGTCCTAACTTTTCATCATTCTGAAAACCATGGATAAAATGCACAGTATTACAAAGGTGTAGAAATATAACATTACGCTCCTTTGTTTCTAAGATTACTCTGCAAGTTTCCAGTCTTTATTTTTTTCAACTCAGTTTACTTATCATAAATAAAGTCAAACGTCTTTAAAACAACAATTCCTTATATTATCTGGATCCTATCTTGTATAAATTGACCTCCAAACAAACAACAAAACGTCTTTGTTAGTATAAAATTGGCAGCACATATAAAAGAGGAGGTTTTGATGTCTTCCAGCTGCAGTTTTCATCTGATCTTTAAAACAGCCAAAGGGCCCCTCAAAGGACATGCCTGGTCCTGGTCTGTGAAAAGCTACCATTCCTAAATATCATACGATAAAATTAGACATGTAAGAGCTTAACATGGAAATATGTTATCGTATGAAGAATGAAAAAACATGAGATAAGAAATATGGTAACATGATTTCACTGTGGAGGGCTTCACTTGTTTAGGTAGCAGCTCTTTTATGCACAATAACTTAAATGTGTATGCAGTCAAAATTAAGATATAAGAAGTGATAACTGTAACAAAAGAGACAGTACCAGGGAAAGCTCTGCAAAAAAAAATCTAATGAATCAATTAACTGTGAAAAAATACAAAATCAAAAGAAATAAAAACTTCCAAGAGTAAACATTACCCACTGTGCTGCTGGTAGTTGTCACCTACTTTAATTTAATAATTTTCTTGTCGATATTATAAGCGTTTTGCATTTTCTCTCAAATTAATCCCTTGAATAATTGTGATTTCAGTAATGATTATGACTTATTTTTTTCTGCAATGGAGCAAGAACATCCAAGAACTTCTTGATACCAGCATATTTACAGACACAAAATGTATTCTTCTGGTCCGGTTTAGCCTTGATGTTCTGTGTTTGTAAATCTCTTCTCTCAGCACTCTTAAGTAAAGCCCATAACAGCTATTCTTGGTTTTCAGGAACAAAGATTCCTGATTAGAAGAATTTGACATAGCAACAGTCCTCCGTTGTTATGGAAATAATGCAATGCTAATCAAAATATTATTTCTCTTGAATGCGTCATTTTTTTTTTTTCTCAAAATGACGCAAGTCCCTGTTCTGTATTACACAAAATTAACTTGTTATCTTTACGTGATGTTATGTTGTTACCTCTTCAAAAACATAGCCAGAGTTGTGTTTTATTTCATTCAAACATCTATAAGTAATCCTTATTATTACTCTACAAAAGCTCAAAATGCTCTGTTCCACCTTGTAATGTCATGAAGCGATAGTTTTCAAGTTAACAGATACTGTACCTTTTAACTTTAGTTCAGTAGAGTTTGGCAATTTCAGGGCAGGAATTATTCAAATAATTCTAGTGAAGGTGTATGGAGTTTAAAAACATAGTGGAGCACTTACTGTATTACCACATGACATCACAAGGTGGAACAGAGTGTTTTCAGTTTGAGACAAGAACTTAGGTTAAATATGCCTTGATGTTAAACAGAAAATGTGTGAATGAAACAAAACACAACTCCAGGTTTTAATCCAACATTATAACATACAACAGAAAATAGCGCAAGATGGGCCCTTTTTTTTTTGACCAAATAAACTATTCCTAAACCTAACCTTAATCTGACTGTGAAAAAAAATGTGTCATATTGTCAAAAATTTGCATTTGCTGGCATAACCACCAATGCAAAGTAGCGGTTGTGTGACATAATTTGTGTGGGGAAAATAAATTGGGCTTTTTGAATAGGAAAAGGCTATCTTCCTGAAACCAATGAACTGCGTTGTTGATCATTTTGACAATCAGTTAATCAGTTCTCTCCGCTCTAGTCAGAACACAACACTGATAGAGAATATACACATTTAAATTATCACAATATTTTAATCAGACAACAGTTCATTCATTCCCACCAATTCATTCAATTCACTGGTAGAGGATCCGTCAAATGTTTTTATCAGATATTATTGCTTTATTATTGCTTATTGCTTTGTCTGGAATGTTTCACAGTATGGTATTAAACCTTTCTATCTTCATGGAGACCAAACCAGGCCAAGCTGCTGGTCAGATCTGTTGAGAGGCGACCCCACTCACCTTCAGAATGCCTGTTTTTCTAGGTGTTTTTGAGCAATAAAGACACCTGTAATTGAATAAATGTAAGGTAGAGCTGTTTAATGTCATACTGTGGAACATTTAAAGCAGAGCAGCCTAAGAGAGAAACCGTAGGGTACAGTAGCTCCTGTGGTTTACCAAGAGGCTCCTACAGCTCCACTCAAACCGTGAGAGATGCAGGAAATTCATACCATACTGCATACAGATGTACAACAACTCAGCTTTATGTAACAGATAATACTCACTACAACTCTACAACATTTCACTTTAAAGTAACGGATAACCCTATGTCCTGTCAATCATCATCACTGTTGCACTGTCTTCTTATGACCTGAGATTTTATATTTTATTACTTGCTTTTCTATTTTATTTTGAGTTTTACATTTACATTTATATAATTATGCCTTATTTCACACCTGTCTCTTGCGCTTTTTTGCTACTTATTTAGAATTTATTATTACCATTTGTATTTTAGCTCTTTGTTATTATATTATATTGTGATGTGTGAACTACTCTGTCCAAATAATTTCCCTTTTGGATCAATAAAGTTTGCCTAAGTCTATCCATACAAACAAGAATGTGATGGACCTCCCGCCGACAAATTACATAATGCATCTTTAATATCCTGGTTTAATTTCAGGCTTTATTCTTAAGGGGTGCAACTGTAAGCTAGTATAAAATCAGACTTAATAATATATTGTGTTCTTACTGACTGACACACTCACAGCAATGGTATGCAAGAACAAAGCGTGGATTGTAACAGCCATGAAGAGATTAGATTAATTATTATTGTATTTGTCAAAAGGCAAATAAAGTTATATTAAGACTATATAAAGATTTCCTGTTTCATAATACTAAAACCTAATATTCTATCCAGATGCCCTGCTGTGTCTGTGGGCTCTCTGGATGTCCTGGTGCAGGTAGGTCACAGGAAAATAAAAGGGGGAGGAGACATTGAGCTAGCTGCTAACACTGAATTAAAACATCAAAACATAAATTGCAAAGAATAAATAAGCTAAAAACGGGAGAAGTCTCTTGCATTACAACTGAATGACAGCATAGTCCACTTTGATCATTTAGAAATAGGAAGTTGCATAGGCCTGCTGCTAAGAACTTAATCCAAACATCGATACAACATTAAGATAAATGTTAGATATTTGAAATGCTATTAATAAAGAGACATTTCCCATTTGATTGTCTAATAAATGACGTAAAGATCGTTGTTTTGCGAACTTTTACTCCCGTCCATTACGATTTCACCGCAGGCAGTAACAAGGTGTGCTGCTGCTGTTCACGCGTATAACTTTTCCACAATTTTTAGCTTAAACTGCATTTTATCTTACCTGGTTTGGCCGGTTTGGGAGGGGGCTTCGACATTTGTAAGATCAGCAAAGAAAAAACAACAAGGATCCTGGAGTTTTTCTATAAAAGAGCAGTCGCTGGCTGTAAAGTTTTAACTCCAATGAGGAAGTTCGCGTTACACCAGCAGACCATGCGGAAAGGTCGGACTGCGCATGCGCTTGACCTGGCCGTCATCATTACTATAATTTTTCACTCATGTCCAAATTAATTTATTATTTCGCGTTAAAGAAACAATTATTGATACAAATTAGAAAATAGTAAAAATTAAAATAAAAAAATAAAACAAAATTGTAGGCTTATATTTTGTGTAATAATAAATAAATAAATACATGGTCACATTTTTGTATAGTACTTTTCCACCTGCAAGGCACTCAAAGCACTTTACAACAAGGAACCACTCACCCATTCACACACACATTCATACACCATTATACACAGACACTGGGTGTGAAGTAGGTTAAGTGTTTTGCCCAAGGACACAACGACAGCATTCATCTGTGTGAGCTGGAGTCACACCAGCCAACTTGTGGGTGAGTGGATCTGACAGCTCAACCAATGTTGTTTATGTCAAGAGCGGGATTCAAACGGCCAACAATCAGTGGACAAACAATCTAACAACTGAGTTACTATCACCCAAATAAATAAATAAATAAATAATAAGAAGAAAAAGTTCATAAAATGTCTAAAAGTAGGCTATTGTGCTTAAATGACCTACAGCCACTATTGCTATGAAAGATTATATGTTTTTATGTAGTACAGATGCCTATGTAGACCATTTTTTCCCATATAGATCTACCATCTATAAGTAAGCTGTCTTATTATATATTCGAATAAAGGCAATATATTAATCAATCGATCGATCAACTATACCCTGTACCCTCTTAATGACAACATTTCTGCCTGGTAAACAATTTTGTACGTACATTTTTATATCTGTTATCCTCATGTTTAATCTTTATACTCCACAACTTGCAACTGACATGCACATCTGTCACCCTCCTCTTCACACACACACACATACACACACATACACACACACAACACACACTCTTATACACAAATATTTGAACGGTGAGGGGAGGGGCTTGTGACTCAAACCGCAAATCAGAATGGATCAATAACAGAACAGTGTGAGGGGGGAAAACTTGTAGTAGTAGCTCTGCGAATGTGCTGTTTGTTATTACATTATTACTGTGTATTTAGGCCATTAAAATCAACTTAAAGACAGAAGAAACTAAGATGAAGACTGTCATTGTGGGCATTGGAGGGTGAGTAAAGAATAACATGTACTCTTGTGGTATTTGACCTTTTTGAGATAACATTTTCTGTGTCACTGTGTCAACCCTCTGGCAGTTGCATAAGGAATTTGCCTGCTTTTTAAAATTAGTTTAACAGAAATAAGACTTCAGATCCAGGGTACTTTGACATGTCCACTCACACCACATCAAAATTGGGACTAAACTGGGACTAAACCCTTAACTAGACCAGAACAGAACTAATCCAGGACAAGAGTAGGACTAAACTGGGTGCAAACCAAAACCAAACGCTTCCTATAGACAACATAGGGTGACCTCAGGACAGGACAATTTCATCAGCCCTCTACATGTGACACTGGTGTTGGTGACTGATAAGAAGTTTGTGAACATTTTGTGAAGTTTTTGTTTTCTCTGGTTCAAGCTGAAAACAATTTTGCTTGTTTTTGAATGTTTATTTTGTAGGTTATCATTGTCCTGTTTTGAAAATGCCTTTTTTGCTTATTATTATTTTAGAATAACCAATGGGGGAAAATCTACTCTTGCAACAAGGCTCCACCAACAAATACCCAACAGCTGTCTCATTGCTCAAGATGTTTATTTTAAGGTGCACCTGGTTAATTTAACACACTTAAATGATATACGATATTTCAATTCTCACAAATGTAGGCCTATGTGTTTTTCATTTGTCCAGGAGGATTGCGAGGTGCCAGTCGATTCAAAAGGATTCAAGCAATATGATGGTAATGTTAATTGTCTATGTCTTGTTAATATTGGTGTGTTGGGCAATGTAGTAATGGGTTTCAAGGTGTGGTAACCATGGTCAAAATATAATATCTTAACAATAAAATGCAGGATCAGCCTCTTACAGTTTTAGCACAATGTATGTCACACTAGGCTTGAATAAAATGTCCGAGGCACACTTATTAAGAGGTTGATTAATTTTAACGTTGCTTGTCCTGGAAAAGCACTTGATTTTACACTTAAAGAAGCGATTGATCCACTCACGTTACTTGTTTTAGTTAAACAAGCTCCTACAAAATATGATATCTTTTGACTCGAGAAAGATCCGCACATACTCCTTCAAAGCAGGAAGGAATGGATTGTCTGAAACCCATGAATAGACCAAAATGTGTATCTGTTGGAGCTCTTTAAAGTCTCATAATGGCATTAAGATCACAGATCAGAAATATGCTCAACATGCATTTAAATTATTAAAGGTGTAATCTTATCTGTATCCTGCATTTAATTACCTTGAAAAACACGTATTCTTACCGTGAGTGGGCTTGCCTCTCCACAGATCTATTGGTGCCATCTGCTTGTGTTGTTTCATGCCATTTTGTTTATTAGAGAATGTAATATGACCTAATCTGCTATTGTATTTCTGTGGTTTAGTGGTCAGTGCTCTTCATATGGACCGGATGACAGATCATGTGGAGTTGTGGAAGAAAAACCCAGAGAGTTTTATGAAACAGAAATCTCTAAGAGTCTTTGAAGAATCACTACTGGGCAAAGATGTGTTTGTGCTGATCGTGGAAGGCTTTTTAATATACAACTACAGGTAGTCTTTATAATTATAATAATACATTGGATTTATATTGATATTTTGCAGCTCATAACCAGGCCCAACCCCACTTAGCCTTTGAGATTAGAGGAGATCAAGCTTCATCCTTGTGTTACGACCTTAGTTCCATTTGTTAAATAGAAATTAAGATATTATAATGGAGCAAGATACAAATAGCAAATTAGTGAAAAAAAATAATAATACATGGGCCACAGTTGTATAGTAGCAATGTGTATAGTAGCTACACTTTTTAAATGTTTTATCCAATCTACTTTATTTCTGTATCACATTTCATAAATAAAGCCTGCTGCCAAAGTGCTGCACATAGAGAAATACAAAATGTACAATTAATGCATAAAAACACAATAACAACAACAACAACAACAACAAAGTAAAAGCAAATTAATAAAACTGTGAAATAGACCCATAATAATAATATCACACACCATTAGTATTATTTTTAGTATTACTGTTTTGCGCAGGCCTTTTATTTTTAATGGTAAATTGGGTTTCAGATCCTACCCACTGCTGTTGATTGTTTTTACATTTCCATTTAGTCATTATTAGAAACTCACATTTCACATTTACAGGCCGCTGAACAGCTTGTACAACAAAAAGTACTTCTTGGAGATACCATATGAGATCTGCAAGACGAGACGAAGGTAAGATTGTACTAACTGTACTGATTAAAGTGGTTAAGACATGCTACTGAATCTATTTTATCCTAGTACTCGCATGTACAACCCCCCGGACCCTCCTGGATATTTTGATGGTCATGTTTGGCCAATGTACCTCAAGAACCGTAAAGAAATGGAAGAAATGTTGTCAGACATAGGTGAGGTTTGAAATAATATTCAACATAAACAGTAGGGGTGTAACAATAACCAAAATATCGTGATATTGTATAGTCAAAAGTCTCTCAATAATATCGTGGGCCATCACAATATATCGAATCACAAGTTTCTTTGCTTAAATTCATTGTTGTGGTGCAGCAACAGCTAAAAAAAAACAGAGGGAACTACATCGACCATGATCCTTTGCTTCATTTTAGCACAAAATACATGAAGAAATAACTACTCTAAGCACCTTAATCTTATTCTTAGTTCTTTGTCAAAGCATTTTAAGAGGAAAAAGAAGCATATTCACAATTTTGTTATCCTCCACAAAATATCCTGATAAATATAAATAAGATGTATGTTGTGAAAATACCATGAGATTTGGTTATTGTGACATCCTGAATAAACACACATTTTTACTTTGTTACAGTACGAACAGAAACCTAAAGGTCCTATATTACACAAAACTGACTTGTGAGCTTTAAGCCACAGTGGAGAAAACACAATTCAAGGTATGTTTGTGATCAGAAAACATTATGTCATAGATTAAAAAAAAAAAAAAAAAGCGTAATATGGGCCCTTTAACAAATCATCACAATATACTCAAACATGCAAATGCCTCACAAAAATGCAGAACTAGATCTTTTTCACACCTTTTTAATAGACACGATAGACAGGTAATAGTTATTTTTCATATCTCCACATCGACAATTTCAATATTATATTTTATGTCAATATGGCTCATCCTTACTAAACATGTGCTCCCATTTTTCAGTTTTTGTAGACGGTTTACAAGAGAAGGACCAGCTATTAGATTCTGTGTACAAGGATATCGTGGAAATCATAAAGGGGCTCAACAGTAAGATAACACTATAACTATTAACTCAACTTTTTTGTAAACATTTGAAAATAATAATTACTTTTTCTATTTCTTTTCCAGAGTAATTATGAAATCTGAATCTCCATAAATTCCAGACAGGCTTGATTGTATAAAGGACCAATGTGTACATTGAAAAATACCAAAGAAGTGATTCCAGAAAGAAAAATGTTAAAAATAATTGTGCAACACTTGTGGCGAAGAAAGTGTTTAATGGTGTGTAAGTTTTCTGGTGAAGGGTACATCACCCGCTTTTCTTTGTGGAGATGTTATTATTAACTGTAATTGAATACATTTTGGATAACTTAATGCCATACTGTGGAAAATTTCAGGCAAAGTAATAACATATCCATGGAGATTTGATCCCCCACCAGAAAAGTTATAATTTATTCTTTATTGTTATGTGTGTGTTGTGAAATAGAAGGATGGTCATGTAATTGTGATTTGTCTCCCCCTGGTGGTTAACGCATGATGAACAGGGTCTATAGAAAAATGCTGGATTGTGGCACTTGATCACGCAATTTTGTTATCAAACTGCACTGTTTTTGATAAGAAAATAGAAATTCCAGCTCTTGTGATGAGGGCATGTGTGAGTTTTCTTTCTGAAATCAGAGATAAAAGAAATGCAGAACAAACAGTGCAACAAAACCCATATTTTTTAATGCCATGTCATGTTTTTACACTATAATATAATACAACTCAATGTGAAAGTATTTGAACTATTCAAATACAGTACTTGGACCATGTAATGGATTTATACTTTGTAGCTGATAACATTAACATTACCTGGGGGTGTGACGCTAACTAGAGGCTCTGCTCTGTCTGAGACTTTGTTAGACTTTAATCTGAGCTGTATTTTAATGCAATCTGATTCTGAAAGACTTGACTTAGTGGGAACTACAACAGGTGAGCTGATTTGTGCTCTTAAACAGGTCTATCATGCGTAAAATTACAGTCTTAAGTTTTCATGCTCACCTTTTTGTTGAAAATCAAACACCTATACAGGACCATGAACGCCTGTACTGATCACAGGCTCCTGAAAATATGTTGTTTTATTTTGGGGTTTTTTTGTTTTTTTTCTTGAGTTTTGAGACCATCTTAAAACTTATTTGACAGTGTGTACTAATCTGCGCAATGTCTCCATGGTAACTTTTGAACATTCCATCATAGACATACATGTAGGACACCCTCAGCGTGATATCATTGCAAAGTATTGATGTGTTACAAAATTCATTTTAATGCAGTTATTCAGTGTTCTGTAACTAAATGTCACTGTGTGTAATAAAGCTTAGGATCAGTGTGAATACATTTTTTTAAATAACTTTGCCATAGCATTTGGGTTTACCTCCTTGAAAAGTGCACTATAACTTTTCTTCTTGTTTGTATGGAAATGTCATTGCTCTGCTTGGAATGTTCCAGCTACAGCTCTACCTTACATTTATTAAATTACAGGACTCTCAAAGTAGTAAGAAAAACAGACATTTTGACTGTGAGTGGGCTTGCCTCTCCTCTAGGCGATCAGACGTCCCTATTTACCCAGAACAGCCCCAGTTTTGAGCCCTACACTGAAAAAAAAAAGTTGCTGGATTTGCGTAAAAAAGTTATGGACAGCGGTTGCACGCAATAAAATTATGTTTAGGCTTTGAAACTTTTTTCGAACCCCTCTACACATATTTTTCTCGGAACATGAACATCACTTTTTCATGTTGATGAAATTTGAACAAATCATGCTGAATATGCATATTTATCTTATGGTACCTTATCATGAAATGTATAAGTATGTATAATTTAATTTAATTGATCTAATTCTGTAAAAGAATACAAAAACAGTCTTTAGTTTTCTACAGATCTGTATTGTCTTATTTAAAAAGAATCAAACACAAAGAGAGCACAGGGACAGAGACACACAGTTTGGAGCTGGACAGTGTGAAGATTTATTCCAGTGAAGAAGCTCTGGTCTCTGCCTGTGGACACACGAATAACACATGATGATCACATTCTGATGATCTACTCTGTTGTACATGTTTAAATACACTTATAGCAATTATTACTACAATAACAGACCAGAACAGAATCACAAGAACATTAGAACTGTATCTGCAGAAACAAAACTCACCATGTGCTGCTTTTCTTCCTCTAAACACAGTAACAGGGAGGGCATCTGGTATAAAGTCCTCCTAATGCCACATCACCTTGTACAAGTACGATAACAGTTTCAATAGGAAGTTCATTTTGAAAAATTTAAAAATAATTTTAGTTGGTTTACTTACTTTGTTCATCTGTGGTCTGTGTTTTGTTGGTTCTCAAACATCTTCCTTTTTTCTGAAACATCAGCTGTAACATTCATGAACTTCCCCACAGCTCCAGCAGAGCTCTGGACATCACTCTTTGTTTGTAGACGACTCTGGAACAAACACATTCAAATCTTAGTTCAACTGTCACACTCTTGTAGATGGACAGTCAAAAACAATTTGTTTCAAGCTGTCCTTACATTAACTCTAATTTCAAATAAAACAACACAAACATGTTTTAACAATGACGACATTCTAGGCCGGAGAAGCACATAATAAAATCTTTGAAAAGTCTCACCTCCAGATCAGTTCTCATAATCCTCCTGCTCCACACTGTGTGTCTTCTGCTCCTGGAACTCTCCTGTGTCCTGCTACATTTGAATTTTCCCTCCAAAAGTTTTGGGGAGGAGAATTCCAGAGGGAGGAGCCTCACCAGAAATGATAATAAAGTCATGTTTCCTCAACCTGATTAAAACATGCAGGTCTCACATCGGCCACAATCAAGCGATGTTTGTAAGATTTAAACATGCTTGACAGAGAAACGTAAAAAAGTGATGTTATTGTTGTCAAATTTGTTTTTGCAATTTGAGCAACCCCTCTCGGACCGTTTTTTCAGTGTATGTCCTCCCATCAGATTTATCCAAAACCATTGATTTGTCTCAGTTTTACACAAGAAATGTCCCAGGTGTGTAAAGAGGAGAATATATTGTCATTTGTTAACCTAAAATACAATATAAATAAATAAATAAATAAATCCATCAACAGAGGTCCCTCAGATTATCAGTACGATGGATGCTCTTTTCATAATTTTATGTATACCAACCATCCTAACCCATCCCAGGTGTGTCCCAGTTTTTAATTTAGAAAATCTGCTTACCCTACTCTCCACAGACCTGACCTGTAACTTGGCCTGGTTTGAGCTACACGATGATAGAAATACTTATTACCATACCTTGAAACACCTTAGACAAAGCAATAACATCTCCATAGAGGAAAAACATTTCACGGACCTTCCACCAAAAAAGTTACACAATGCACCTTTAACAGAAACCACAGCAAGTCTTGTGACGTGTGACAGCATCTTCTCATCATCATGTTAAATCTAAGTGGTTAGACTTGGACAAACTTTATTGACCCACAAGGAAAATTATTTGGACACAGCAGCTCACACATCAGAATAAATATAATAACAACAAGAAATATAAATGGTAATATTAAATTCAAGTAGCAAAAATAGCAAGAGACTAATTTCAATAAGCCATAATTATATAAATATACACATACAAGTAAAATAAAAAATAGAAATATAGTAATCCAAATATATATCAGCTATATAAAAGAGGTCGTAACAATGCAAAGATGAAATAACATTGAATAAAACTGTTACTTATACATTTAAGTTGATTTTGCTGACTATATCAAAACCAGTAGCATTTGTTGCACAACACCATTCGTTTCTTAGAATCTCAAAAATCATTTAATGTCACAACTTCTCAAAAAGCTTATCCCATCACCCTTAAATGGACACTATGTAACATTTCCTGTGTGCACCACCTGCTTGTCTCCATGGAGATGCAATTGCTCTGTCAGAAATGTTTCACAGTGTGACATTAAACCTGTCTATCTTGCACTGATTTAAGTGCAGGTATTTGTATTGATTAGAAATACCTTGAAAAACATTATTTCTACTTGTAACTAAGCCTGACTTTACCTACTTATATCAATGGAGATACATTTAATGCCATACAAGGGAATCTATCTGGAGACGAAGCAGAAATAGCTCCAGAAAAGGTTCACAGTGCACCTTTTAAGGTCCTATATTACACAAATTTGACTCATGTGAGCTTTGCGTCATGTTATAATGTTGTTACATCATCAAAAACACACCTGGAGTTGTGTTTTCATTCGCACATGTTTGAGTAATCCTGTATTATTAGTCATTAACCTCTGTTCCACCTTGTGATGTCAAGTAATGGTAGTTCTCAAGTTAACAGCTAACTCTTACCTTTCGTTCAGTAGAGATCAGCAATTCCAGGTCTGAAATTATCCAAATGATTCTAGTGAAAATGTATGGAGTTTAAAAACAAGGTGGTGCAGTTTCTATATTACCACCATGCATGATATTACAATGTGGAGTATTTTCAATTTGCAGTCTGCAGAGTCTGTATATTTAACAAATGTAAATGAAACAAAACATATATCAAGGCATGTTTTGATGAGGAAAAAACATGATAACATAGATCAGAATATGGGCTCTTTAAAGAAACAAGCTTACGTATGTATAAAGTGTAATTTCTGCATCAATTTGAAAGATCTTTTTGAATGAATAATAGCTGAGTTTGCCTCTACCATTGACTTCCTTGTTGCTTTAGAACAGAAACCACGCCGAGACTTGTTTCACAGCATAGATCAACCAGTTTCTCAACATCTTTGCATAATTACAAAATACCTTTTTCCGTTTGAACAGTAAAATGATAAAAATTCGTCGAAAACTCCCTGATGTCTGCAGAAAATCTGTTTGGTTCAGCTGTGGACTGGCCTGACCGGCATGTGCAGCAGTCGGGTATTCCTAACTTCCTTTTCTCAAGCCATATCCTCTTCTGACAGAGCGTATAAATACTTCTGCATGTTTATGAGCGCTTAATATCACCTGCTCAACATGACGAACCACTTTGCTGCTATTACCTGCCTGCTTTTTGCAAGTCATGTCACAGCGTTGCCGACAAGATTCAACAAAAACACAAATGACAGACCTATAATTGGTGAGTGAAAAAGAAAAAAGTTAAAAATATTGGTAACAAATTGTAATCTTGTTTTTGTTTCACAGGCATTCTGACCCAGATAGTGACTGATGATGTGATGAAGCCCTATGGAAATACTTATATTCCTACTGGATATGTGAAGTACATTGAATCTGGAGGCAGTAGAGTTATGCCTGTAAGGTAGGTCACCATAAGTTCAGATGGTACAGCAGTGATTCACAAACTTATTACCTCCAAAGTTCCCATACAAATCTAGGACAGAAATTGAAGGGTAGTCATTTAAAGAAGCAAAGCATACAACATTTACTTGAATTACTGGCCTGTCCCCATAGAAAAATATTATCACCTTGACTGAAATGTTCCACTGTATGGCATTAAACATGTTTTTTAGCCTGGTTCTCTCTGGACAGATGTGTATAGTCCTTTGAATATGAAAATGATCAGAGCATTCAAGCAGTGCATCTCATGATCGGTCGCAGCGTCACAACAGCAGAACAAGCTTCCCTGTTCATAAATGCACAAACCACTTCCGTCTGCATTTTTTTCATAATTAAAATAGTCTGTATTAATGCTAAAATAGGCGGAAGTACGTCTGTTTGTTTTAGTTCATTCGGGGTCGGCTTGCACCCAAACCACAGTGCTGCCTTGTGATTGATCAGTCTGCTGATCACTGGTGCAGGACCTGTCACATGCAAATGATTTCACTGGAGCTGATCAAGGCAGATTTTTGTGACAGAGGTGGTGAATCACTATTTTTAGGACTTGAGACTTGACTTGATAAAACTGACTAAGACTTGGGACTCGACTTGGACTTGACGGTCAGTGACTTGGGACTTGAGGCCTATGATTTGTAAAGACTTGGGAACCACTTTTAAATCTGAATTCTTTCTATTCTGACCATAATGATTCACACTAAGATATTGTCCAGGCATTTAAAAATGAAAAAATAACTAAATGACCATAACTTACAATTACAATTTAGTTTAAAAGTCATATCAACTGCAAAAATCTAAACTGTATTTTCTACTTTGGTTTAAAGACTTGAAATGACTTGAAGCTCAAAGCAGATGACTTAGACTTGACTTGGACTTTTGGGTCAGTGACTTGAAACTCGACTTGGACTTCTGTATTTGACTTGGGACTTGAAAAACAAAGGCTTGGTCCCACCTCTGGTTTGTGAACTAACAAAAATAAAAATCGAGAATTTGTCTTGCTGGGAAGGCTAATATTTTTTGCAATTATACAATATTTATTTTCATAATACCTTATACTGAAAGCATAAGGTACATTCTTACTGTGAGTGGAGTCATCTCTCTATAGTCTGTAAATTGGTCTGGTGACTTTACCCACTTCTAGAAGCTTAATGCCATACAGGGAACAGTCAAGATGAAGGCATACGATCTCCATGGAGACAAACATGTGCCAGACTCTACACCAGAAAAGTTGCATAATCCTCCCTTCATCTAATATTACAACACATTACTCTACACGATCTAAGATATATTCTTATTTACACAATGTTTTCTGTGTTTTCCTGAATAGAGTGAATCAGGATGCAGAGTATTATGAAGATATTTTTCAAAAGATAAATGGGTAAGTTAGGAAATGTCAACAAACTCCACTTTAATCTAAAGAAGTTACATACAACAACATATCTTTTTCTCCTCCTTGCCATGTGTGCAGCCTGCTCCTCATTGGTGGAGCTGCAGACCTACAGAACATCCGACTTTGCCAGAGTGGCCAAAATCTTCTTCAAGCTTGCTCTGAAGGTTAGATTCTCTATTGATAAGCACTAGTAGAATTTATAAGTTAGGTTCTGACACTACAAAAAGTGGAGTTCTCCTTGTGTTCGAGTGGGTTTCCTTCCATCAACCAAAAACATTGGTTAATTGTACAGCTATAAGTCCTGAACAAGCCCATCTGGAGATGGGTCCACTGCTCCTGACAGGCTGGACTGAGACATAAAAGGAGGGTCAAATGCTGTAGATTTATTTACCTATATTACGTAAAATTTATGTTTGTGAATTTTAAGCCATGTTATAATGCTGTTACCTCAACAAAAACATACTAAATGAGAGAGTGTTTAGTTTCATTCACACTTGTGTGAGTAATCATCGTTTCTGTCACATCTCCAAAACTCAAAACCTTGTACTGTCATGTAGTGGTTGTTTTCAAGTTAACAGCTACAATATACCTTTGATTCAGTACACTACAAAATCTAATAAGTAGACCTTACTTGAAAAAATCTAAGAAAATGATTACCTTGAAAAATCTCAGTGTAGTGCTCAGTGCTAGCAAGCTCAGTGTAGTGTACAGTAAATTCCTCTTTCATCTAACTAGGCACAGCAAGTTAAGTGCATTTACTTTTCATTCATAGAACTCATGTTGTGAAGCTGGGTCAACTAATCAGTCAGTTCCTCAAATATGAAATATGTAGTAACCTTTACTCTAAAAGTAAATTAACCTTACTTGGTAAAACCATGGAAACTGATTGCCTTGAATTAAGTAAGTAAATGTTACTTATACACACAAGTTAGAGTAAAAACAGCATTTAGATTTGGATCAGATACATAAGGAGTTGAATATGTATTAATTAAAAAAAATATATATATAGCAAAACTTTTATTCAGCTTAAGTTCAAAACACTTCATAACATGTGTAACAATAAAATAATAAAGCTGGGTCATTCCATGTCAACTCAACCAAACCCCCAGACTTAGGTCTCAAAAATGCTGGAAGAAACAAAATAGGAGTACAGGTGTAATCTACCACAGACTGTATGATGGGAGGATATAGAGATGGCCCTAAGATGATCAGGGAATGAGTGGCAGCTGTAGGAAAAACAGGGAGGTAGTAAAAGGAGGACCGGAACAAACTGGGAAACGAAGCTGGACTCTAGGCAATAATACTGTTGAAGCTACTTGTGTAATTCAAGTTGACCTTAGTCTAATTGACAAGTAATGTGCTTTTTTTTTTGCCCTGAAAGTAACTGTTACTTTACCACACTCATTAAGATCCACAAATGTGTAGCTGTGAGTAAAGTTAACTGCCTGAATGAAAGTTTACCCTAGAGTTATGATTTTATAGTGTAGAAATAAGCAATTCAAATATCCTGACATCCAAATGATTCTATAGTGAAAGTGGAGAACATCACAAGGTGGAACAGAGTGTTTTCTGTCTGAGAAAAGAACTCAACTTAAATACGCAAGATGTGTGTGTTAGACATGTGTGAATGAAACGAAACACAACTCCAGCTCTGTTTGTGATGAGGAATCAGAAAATAACATAATATGGACTCTTAAACTTTATTTTGTGTTGCAGGCCAATGATGCTGGAGACTATTTTCCGATCTGGGGCACGTGTATGGGCATGCAGCAGCTGTCTGTTCTTGTAGCTGGAGAGAATCTGCTCTCAAAAACCACAGCGGAAAACGAAGCCATGCCTCTAAACCTCACAGCAGGTAATACCCCACTTATGTTTGTGCTGGGCAAGAGAGGTTTATTTTTAGAGGAAATTTATGCAGAGGACATCATAAGACATTTTCAAACATCACATAAATCACTAGACACAAAACAAATAAAAACATTAAAACATAGAATTTCACAGTATGGTACTAAACCTTCATGGAAACCAAACCAAACCAATTTATAGGTAATATCTCTGGAGAGACGAACCCCGTTCACAGTTGCAATGCTTGTTTTTCTAGGTATTTTTGAGTTATAAAACCACCTCTAACTGATGTAGTTTAATGTCATAATGTGGAACATTCCAGGCAGAGTAATGACATATCCATAGAAACAAGCAGGTGATGGACCCACAACCAAAAATTTCCTAGTGCACCTTTAAGAGTGCAAAATAAAAATCTTTCAGTCATATGCATAGCTAAACCATTTTGAGCCTTGTCAAATTTGACATTGTCAAAGTAGAGGCGTATCTCACATCTTCAAGAAGACTGCTGCAGATTTTAGCTGCATGTTTAGTCCTGGTTTATTTATTCATTTATTTGTTTATTTATTTCATTCATAAAGTATAAAAAGACATCAACAGTAAGACTGATCAAGAGTAATCTTATGTTATCTGCCCCCTTTTCCCATTTCAAGACAATACATCAACACTGATAGTTACATTAAAACATTTCAAATCAGTACATTTCAGTTCAGACACAATTATTAATCAATTGCGAACAGAAATCTTCACTATTATGCACAAGAATTTCGTTTTCTTTGCATTCAATTTTGTGTTTTTTAAACGCTGTCATTGTACTTGATTCTTTTATATCTTTGTCAAGACAATTCCATAAGTTAGCTCCTTTCTTCACTCCATAACCTTTTTTTCTGAATCTGGGTTTTTTGAACATGTAGGTTTCTTTAAATTGTAGGGGCTTGTTCAAACAGTCTTTGAATATTTACAGATAGCACTTTGCTTTATATATTACTTTGAGGAGACTTAAGTCAACAATATCATGCATTTTCAACACTTTAAATTGAACAAATAATGGGTTGGATGGCTCTCTGCAATGATTGTTGGTGATAATTCTCAAGTCCCTTTTTTTGTAAAATAAATAATGACTGTAGGTAAGTTTAGTCTTGGTTGAGACCCAGTTTAGTCCTGGTTAATTAAGTCCTGGTTTGGATGCCAGTCCCTGAGGTCCTCAGAGTGTGAGATGGTTCATATGGCACTAACATATCAGAGATGTACTTTGGTGCTAGGCCGTGGAGAGATTTCTGCTTTTAAATGTTTTCTTAAAATGTATGTACTCACTCTGGCCAGTTGGTGTCAGTAAAGACCAACTTTAACTTTCAATAATGGACAACATCCCAATTGTCTACTTTCTGTTCTTTGTTACATTAGTTACACTTGAATGTATATCTCTTGGTTTCTTTTTATGCTAAATTAACCTTGAGATGTTCATATTTCAACCCCTGAACAAGAATATACTTTATACTGCTACTACTACAACTACCACTACTACTACTTGGCTTACTTATTGAATATTGGAGTTGTTGTTTGTGGTTGTTGTTGAGATTAATTAAAATAAAAAACTTTCTTGAATTTGCAGAGGCCTATTTAAGCAAAATGTTCCAGGACTTTCCAGCACCTCTTATGAAAGCCATCACTCAGGAGCCACTGACCGCTAATTTTCACAACTATGGCCTCACAGTACAGGTATTTTTACAAACACTTCCTCAAAATAGTTAATTCTTTAGTATTGAGATTTTTGTTCTGTATTATTATTATTATTATTATTATTATTATTATTATTATTATTATTATTATTATGCTTTATAATGTTGATTCCTCATCACAAACATACCTGGAGACATCACATCACAAGGAGGAACAGAGCATTTTGAGGTTTGGGGATGTAGACAGACTAATTACCCAAACATACTGTGTGAATAAAACAAAACACAACTCTGGGTATGTTTTTGAGGAGGTCACAACACTCTAACATGGCTTAAAGCTTGAGTCTTTTGTGTGTAATATAGGAACTTTAAACATCTTCACGTTTGCTCTTTCAGACTGTGCTGGAAAATGAAAAATTGAATAACTTTTTCACCATTTTGTCCACAAACGTCGCTGACAACGGAGCACACTTTGTTTCCACTATAGAAGGTTTGAATCTAAAAATTTTATACAAGTTACAAAAAGAAAATGTACAAACCTTACCACTTTTTCTTGGATATTGGCTTCTCGAAAACATGTGATATCAAGTTGTAGCAAAGATTATCTAGCTTTTCTATTCATTTCCAAGAAGAAGTATAGGCCAAGACCAAGTTACACCCCTCCCCCACCAGAAAAATTTACGTAGTGAAACCAGATAACAATGATACGGCAAATTCTATGATAGATCTTCTTATTCTGATCTGCCCTCTGTGTCAGTTTCAAAGCTGTATTAGGCAACTTTTTTGATGGAGGGTCTGCTTTGCCTGGAATATTCCATGGTATGACATTAAACATCTAGAATTTCTTCAATTACTGTTGCTCAAAAATACAATAATTCCTCCTGTGAATAGGGGCAACTCTCCACAGAACTGAACTGTAATGTAGCTTAGAGTTGTACCTGCTTGTCTCGCATGTGATAGACAGGTTTAATCTATACTGTGGAACATTCTAGGCAAAGCAATAACATCTCCATGGAGACAGACAGGTGGTGAAACCTCCACTAGAAGCCATGAACTCTCCACTTACATGAACACAGCCTATCTGGATGACTGCTTTGTGTTTATACCATATTGTAATTTATGCTTTTTATTTATTTATTTTTATTTTCAGGTAAAAAATATCCCTTTTACGGAGTACAGTGGCACCCAGAAGTGAACCGCTTTCAATGGAAGAGCGATAAAAACTTCCCTCACTCGTACAATGCCGTTCAGTTGTCCACTCTGCTCGCTCAGTTCTTTGTCAATGAAGGTAAGAGAAACGAAACAACCATGTTCAAGAGTACCTGTATCGATAAACCTGTTTAAATTACACTGAATAATAAGGGTTTCAAATGAAAAACATGTGGGCACAGAACATCACACAATTCTCACGGTGTTAAAAGCCTGATAATAAAATTGACATATGTTATCTCGCTCTCCTGTTGTTCTCAAAACGTTTCCTTTATTAAAAAGAACATTGTCTGGTTCATATTCTAATGTTGTTTACTCATCAAAAACATGTCTGGAGTTGTTTTGTTTTATTCACACATGTTTAACACACAAACCCTGCATATTGAGACTGTGCTCTTCTTCACTGTGTTTTAAAACTCCATACACCTTCAGTAGAATTATTTTGATAATTTCAGACCTGGAATTACCTGTCTCTACTGAACTAAGGGTAAAAGACAGCTGTTTACTTGACATGGCTAATAATAAAGGGTTACTCAAACATGAATTAAACAAAACACAACTCCCAGTATGTTTTTGATGAGTTAACAGCATTACATCAGGGCTAAGAGCTTGTAAGACTCAATTTTGCGTAATGTAAAACCTCTAATATTTCTTAACAGTATTTAACTTAAAATAGCCTAAAATAAAAGCATGTTGTTTTCATTTTGATGTAAAAAACATGCCTTCTTACTGTGTGCGAGCTTGCATCTCCACAAACCTGACTTTTACGTGAATGTTGTTCTGAAGTACGGTTTTAACTTTCTATTTCCATGGAATCTTGTTACATGTTACATATACAGTGTATTTAAATTATGTGGTAACAAATTGCCTAGTGATTTGTTGACTTAATTTTATGACGTTGAAACGATAAAACTGTATTTAATAGGAATGTAATGATATCCAAATCTCTCGGTACGATATTATCACGATATGCATCTCACCGTACGATATTTATTGCAATATTTTGGAGAGGCTAATATCATTGTAGATGGGACATGTTTCTACTTCTAAAATACCTTGACAAGATTTTGGTGTGAATTATTTCTGTCATTATTTCTGTTTTTTGTAATTTTTTGTAATTATTTCTGTCCAAGAGTAAAAAACATATCTCTTCATGTTGTCTGCACTGAAATGAATCATGGGATATGTAATTCCCGATGTTCATAAGATGTTGCTACTGTAAAACCATGCATTTAAGCAAAGGAACTTTTAATTCGCTATATTGTGACAACCCACGATATTGTTGTGAGACTTTTGATGATACGATATCATGATATTTCGGTTATTGTTACATCCCTAGTATTGAAAAATTTCAACATGGCCTTTAGTCTTTATTTACAGAGCACTTAAAAAAAAAGTGCTTGACTCAGTTGCTGCACACAACCTTTTAGATAAAAAACACAACACTGAATAATACATGACAAAGAAAAGGAATATAAACAGTGAATATGACCAAGAAAAGGAGAGCTTAGGCTTGAATATTACCACGACCACAAGCATTAATTTGTCTAATTTACCTTATTGTGTTGAAGTACACCGGCGTGTGCATTTGTGTATTTGTGAGATTGAACAACAGATGGAATTTAGTGCCTAGTTAATTCAACATGGTGACAGCATATGTCTCATGTACGTTCATTAGCATGCTCTGTCACCACTTTCTTTTCCAAATAAATACATAAATACATGTGTTAACACTATGACACTGGTCCAGTGCATATATATTTTGGATTCTTTGTGGCAGAATTAATGTCATACTCTGTTTTTACAGGTCCTGTTTTATACAAAATGTATTCTTATGAGCTTTAAGCCATGTTAGTTGTGTTTTGTTTCATTCACACATGCTTGAGTAACTATTATTAGTCTGTAGGGATGTAACAATAACTGAAATATCGTGATGTTGTATCGTCAAAAGTCTCACAATAATATCGAGAGCTGTCGCTATATATTGAATTACAAGTTCCTTTCATTAAATGCATGGTTTTATTGTAGCAATGGCTTATAAACATAGGGAACTACATATCCCATGATTCATTTCACATTTCAGCACAAACAACATGAAGATATATTTTTTTTTTACTTGAATTCTTGGGATTATGACGGAAATAATTCACACCAAAATCTTGTCATGGTATTTTAAAAGCAGAAACATGTCCTATCTACAATTATATCAGCCTCTCCAAAATATCGAAGTAAATATCGTACTGTAAGATGCATATCGTGATAATATCGTACCGAAAGAGTTGGATATTGGTACATCCCTATTTGTCTGTACATCTGCAGAGCTCAAAATGCTCTGTTCCACCTTGTGATGTCATGTAATGGTAGTTTTCAAGTTAACATCTTTAACTTTCAGTCAGTATAGAGACGGAAATAACCTAAATTATTATTCTAGTGTAGGTGTATGGAGTTTAAAAACACAGTGGAGGAGTTATAACATAGATCAGAAATACGGGCCCTTTAAAACATGTTTTTGATGAGGAAACAATATTAGAAACATAGATCAGAACATATTTAATACAGAGCCTTTAAAGTACTCTTGCTAAAGTACAATTGCTGGCTACTCTCCTCATCTTTGTTTATGTTTTGTTTTTAGGAAGGAGGAGTTTACACCAGTTTGAGGATCCTCACGAAGAGGAGAAGGTGCTCATTTACAACTATAACCCGGTTTACACTGCCAACTTCACAGCATATGAGCGGGTTTATTTCTTCTGACGCACAGAGATGGTGTGAATGAAAATATGCCACTGCTGTGTTTCGATTGGCTGTCTGCATGAGTCACTGTTGATGAAAATGCTTTCCGATGACAGAACAGCTATTTTTACCCCAGTATTCAGAGATATTTTGCAATAAACTGTTACAAGTGCTTACTTTGCACGAATCAGTGATATTTCATTGTAGTTTTAAATGCCACTTGCATTTTGAGTTTATAAAAAGCATTTGTTTTTTTCTATCTGTGCACATGTCTAATGATGTTACAATGACAATAAAGGAAAGTTATGACTCTTTTCTTAGAGTTCAAAAGTACACACCACGTTTCATTGAAGGAGTAGCTTATAATCGTACTTCATTCATGGTTTTCAGCTTCATATTATAGGCAGTGGTGGAACATAAAAAAGTAAAGTACTGCAAAATATTGAGGTATCTGTACTTTTACTTTTACTTTTACTTCAGTACATTTAATAAGAGGTATCTGTGCTTTCTACTGCCCTACATTTTGAACAGGACTGAAAAGTAAAAGTATTTTTTATTATTGTTTGAGACGTGCTGAAAAGACTTAGCCAGGTTGGCGCCATCCAGTGCCTCCGCTCAGTTTAATTTCTCTCCAGCGACTAAGTCAGGAATCAGAATACACTAGACTACTACACTAGTTTGCAAGAACCCCAGAAGTTGTAGACCGTGCACCGGCCAATCAGTGAAGAGCTGTGAAGCCATGATGTCAAACTCAAGCGCCTGTCTGGGTCCCTTTTATGGTACAGCACAACAGTAAACAACGCAGTCAAGATGGATGTAGACGAAGACAGACATTCTGTGTTGGCAACAATTCCCGAGATCGAGGATTTAAAGCTGGAACAAAGAGAATGTTTGATGAATTTTATCAAGGGGAAAGACATTACTGCCCTTCTTCCTACGGGATTTGGCGCATTAGATATGTCATGACCAAATAGCAGCGATTGGTTAAATTAAAAAAGTACCGCCTACCGTTGAGCAAACGAATCCTAATGCTGTGAGGTCAGACTGTTTCCACAAAGTGAAACCAGCTGATGAATCAGGCAAGAAAAGGCTAGGGAAAAAAATTCAACACAATTCTTGATCAAAATCAGTACTTTGGAAGCTTTATTAGACCTCAAAATCTGTGTGAAATACTTTTACATTTTACTCTTAGTACATTTAAAAGAGGTAGTTTAACATTTTTACTTAAGTTGATTTTTTCATGTGATTTACTTTTACTTGAGTAGGCTATTTATACTGCGGTATCTGTGCTTTTACTTAATTTTTTTTTTTTTTTAAAGTACACTTCTTCCACCACTGGTTATATGTGACAATTTGAGGAATTTTCCCCAGGTCAAATCATTAATTAATATAGCAAAAGCCCTCATTTTTCATAATTTTAAAGTCTTTAGCCGGTCTAAAACTTTAAGAGTAGACATTGTAAACACTGGCTGTGCTGAAAACGGGACAGTCCCAGTTTTGAGTCCTGTGTCCCCTACCTGTCCCTGCAGATTTATCCAAAACCAGTGATTTGTTCCAGTTTTATTCAAGAAATGTCCCAGGTGTCCCTTTTTTTTTGACCAATTTGATCCCTGCCAATAGTAACAAGAGGCATAAATTGTCACTTGTTAAGGTAAAATACAGGAAAACTGCATGTTAGTTATGAATGGGCTGAGTGCGGAACAATTTTCCTTAATTACTTAATTAACTCGTTTCACAGTTTTTTTTTACTTCATATAAAAATACTGTCACGTATATCTATTCTTGTTCTGTCTTTAGATGAAGTCTTTTATCCATAAACAACATTTTTGAATCCTCCGTGGTAGATAGGAACAGGACTTGCATGCTGCTTTGTGATTGGCCCATCCGCACGTCTCTTTTCTGTTTCGGGCGGGACTTGCAAACGCAGCCACTGGTCTAGTTTCTCCCTCACTCTGTTACTGCTGCTGGGTCAGTCGTACACTCTCCAATAATTATACACTTTCAGCTACCGCGAGCAGGAGGATACACAGCCGGATAGTTGCTGTTCATCTTCTTAGTTAGACGGGATTTTACGCAGCGCCCCCGGATATGTGACGCTCCATTGTTCCCCTGTCTCTTTATTACACGATTTATTCCGCTTTTTTACGTCGTTACGCTGTTCTTGATCCACATATCTTTTTTTCTCGGGTACCTTCACCAACACTGCGGGCTGACGTCTACGTGTACCACTAGGACACTCTTCGGGGGCATCGATCCGTGCAGGGACGGACGGGGGTCTGCGGCGTGTTGGTAAACAGCGCGTGCATAGCGGCGGCCGCGAGGACTCCCTCTGGCGCATTGATGCACCCGTTCCAGTGGTGTAACGGTGAGCTTTTATCACTATGCTAGGCCACAAAAGCTATTTTTACTCTGCTATTTTCACTTGTTAAACGCATTTACTTTGCCAAAATAAACCAGCCTATGTTTTGGGTTATTTAAACACTGGATAACCTAAGAGAACCTTTATTTATCCAACAATATGGAAATTCCAGTGTTAGTAAAGCACAGTTACAGTAGGAGAATAGAAACATGCAATAAAAATAACTATAATATATATAATCTTAAACAGAACTAACGAGTAGACCCTAAATAAACTAGGTTATGTTTTGAGCTATTTGAGATCCTTTATTTGTCCTACAATATGGAAATTTCAGTGTTGCAATGTAAAGTTACAGTAGGAGAATAGAAACATGCAATAAAAATTAAAACAAATAACTATTACACGCATAATCTAAAACAGAACCAATGAGAAGAGCAATATTACTGTTACGCTAAATAAACTATTTTATGTTTTGAGCTATTTGAGATCCTTTATTTGTCCTACAATAAAGAAATTTTAAGTGTTGCAATGCAAAGTTACTGTAGGAGAAAAGAAACATGCAATAAAAATTTAAGACAAATAAATGTGACATAAATAATCTGTTATAGTAGAGCAATATTAATATTAGCCTAAATAATATAGGTTATGTTTTGGGCTATTAAACATTGGATAAGATAAGAGAAGTGTTATTTAGCCCACAATAAGGACATTTTAGTGTTGCAGTGCACAGTTACAGAAGGAGAATAGAAACATGTAATAAAAATGAAGACAAATCACTATTACACATATAATCTAAAACAGAAGTAATGAGTAGAGCAATATTACTATTAGCCTAAATAAACTAGGGTATGTTTTGAGCTATTTAATGATCCTAAGAGTTCCTTTATTTGTCCCACAATATGGAAATTCCATGTTGCAACACACAGAACAACAGAACAGAATCATGCAATAAAAAAATTATATAAATAACTATTAGGCTAAATGTATGTATGTAAAATCTAAAACACACCTAAGAAGTAGAGCAAAATTACTATTTGCCTATGCACAAAAATTACTAAGGTTATGTACTGTACAGCATAAACAGAATAAAATAAATCACAGGTAAAATGACTTGAATGACTTGCACCAGTGATGATTCATATTATATTATTGCAGAGATGCTGGCCTGTGCTTGTGAAGTCTCTCTACTTTTTCTTATTATATTGTAACTATTCAACCTATTAGCTCAGTAAATTTGTCATTACGTGACTCAGGTGACAATTGGAGGAATATTGATCTTTGTGAACAAAATGGCCATTCACAACCTATAGGCTAATTGACAACATTAGCTCTTAGTGGGGACAACTGGAGTAGGCACAGATGTAGGCTATAAATTATATTCTATAAGTTCACATTATTAGGTTTTTAGAGGTTTCAAGTGTTTGCTCAGAATGTTTCACGGTATGGGAATAGATCATCATAAATAAGTTAAAATGTTTGTATTGCTAAAAGGCACATATAACTTACTATGAGATGGTTTCAGTGTTCATTTGTTTTATATACGTCCATCTCTTGTTGATCATATTAGACTATATTGAAGCTTTAACCTCGATTGTTGCTTAGTAAGGGAATGATAGGCCATTCTAATAGGCTAACAGTGTTCTTTCAAACAACATGATCTATTTAACTGTGCAGTCGTGTGTATTTCTTTATGTTTGTGACAGTGACTCTCCTCACAGTAGTTCCTTATCTTTATTATTCACCATTTGTCAAAAGCCACACAACTCCTTTGTTTGACAATAAAAACTACTTTGTATAGAAACCTCCCTCGTTCTCAAGACAGCAGGGAGGAATGGAGAATCATTATGAGTGATATGGAGATGTTTCCTGTGTTCGTCTTGAAAAAAATCTCCCATATTTACCGCTAAAGGTGGCAGTACGTTAACAAATAATGATAAAAAGTATAAATATGTTAATTAGCCGATGACCTCTGGTGATATTTTTGGAGTGATTTAAGTAATTTAAGTTCCCCTAAATTATCGAATAGTACAAACTCATCCACAATCTTCAGTTACTACAAAAGAGAGCAGTTTAGATGTATTTTGATATATTTTTGCAGTACCTTGTTCAAACAAAGCTTTATCCATATAATTTTCATGCATATTTAGGCTACTGGTTGGCCCAAATAGAGTATCAGTCTCTGCTGTAGATATATTGGTCTATTTCTACTTTAGATAGACAGATACTTGACCTGTCATGATAGTATATTGATTTATCATTCAGTATATGAAAGCTGGGACAATATACTGTATTTTGGGGCTCAATATTCATCATATGTACATTCTCTTGGTAAAAGTGGAAAGAGTTGGGGTATTTTTGTTGTAATACGGTAAGATCTGAGCAGTAGAGGGTTAAATAACTAACTTCTCTAGCTCAGGGAAATGATACTGTATATTTAAAAATGGTTTAGTGGGATAATCTTGCACTATTGTTATTGTGTCAGTGGTTTAAAGTAGTTTCCATATCATGATTTATCGCAGTATATCTCTGTAGCAATATATCGTGCTTCAAAATGTGTTATCGTCGCTACTTTAAATTCAAAGTTTGGGAACAGCAACAACTGTAATTTATGGGTCTCACTGTAGATTTTAAATTAGGCCATTGATACAAGCAAATAATGGTTATTGACTGCAGCAGCAAGACAACTAATGGATAATGGAATTGGCTAAAAAAATCCATATTAGATCCCTAAAGTGCAGTTTTAGACCCATCAGGATATAAAGAAATATTCGTTTATCGATAATCATGAATATACAGGTCACAATAAGATTATAATTAAAGATCCCGGATATATTATAATGTTTTCTCATCAAAAACAAACCCAGACTTGTGTTTTGTTTCATTTACACACGTTTAACACACAAACACTGCATATTTAGGCTGAGTTCTTTCTCTCTCAGCAGAAAACACACCCTGTGATGTCATGTGGTAATATGGGAGGTGCTCCACTGTGTTATTAAACTCCATACACCTTCACTAGAATCATCTGCATGATTTCAGCTCTGGAATTGCCAATCTAAAGTAAAGGTAGCAGTTAGCTTGAAAACTACCACTTCATGAAATCACAAGGTGGAACAGAGCATTTTGAGCTTTGGGGATGTAGACAGACCTATAATAAAGGGTTACTCCAACATGTGTGAATGAAACAAAAAGCAACTCCAGATATGTTTTTGAGGAGGTATTAACATTTTAACATGGCTAAAAGCTCACAAGAATCCATTTCGTGTAATATAGGACCTTTAATGTATTTTTAGACAGTGTGAATGAAAGATAAGTATTTCACATTTTACAGTAATCTTAACAATAGAACACTTTGATATATCTGGACATACCTTCTTTCCTGCTGTCACAAAGAGTATGATGTATGAGTGGTCTTTTCCTGTTACTATTTTAGAGCGCCTCTGTGTGGACGGGTGGTGCTATGTCCAACAAAGAACAATAAGCCTCTTTGTAAGGCTCAGATCCCTCCAGCTCTCCACAGAGGAAACCGTACACACTGCTTTCCGAATCAAAGAGACACATTCTGCTCCCCCAAAATGACGGCGGTGCTAGGCGGCTACAGCTTGGCTTTAAGGGTGGATAATATTAAAGGTGCACTGTGTAACTTTTCTCACCTGCTTGTTTCCCATGGAGATGTGCCTAGAATGTTCCACAGTATGACCATAAACTCCATGGAGACTTGCAAGCCAAAGTACAGGTTATATTTGTGGAAAGGTGATCCCACTCACAGTAATAATTAATGGTTTTTAAGATGTTTTTGAGCAATAAATAACACATGTAGTTGAATAAATGGAAGACTGATTAGTTTAATACCATACTGTGTGGACAATTTAAACCAAAGAATTAACAACTCCATGGAGGCCCCCTCAAGAAAAAGTTACACAGTGCACCTTTAACAAAATATACCTGTTTTCATTTTTGCACTAATGAATAATGTATGTATAATGTATATGTAATAATAACTGGATCATGTTTTGCAGTAAATGTCTTGGTAGAAGTTCACATTTTGAATGAAAAATGGACTGTAAAATTAAAGTTACACCAAGTAACTTCTCATTCTCATTTCAAAGGCAAAGAAGTAATGTTCTACTCAGGCTGGCGCCACCTAGTGCCTCCGTTCAATTTAATTTCTCTCCAGCGACTAGGTCAGGAATCAAAATACACTAGACAGTTTGCAAGAACCCTGGAAGCTGTAGACCGCACACAGGCCAATCAGCGAAGAGCTGTGAAGCCATGATGTCAAACTCAAGCAGCTGTCTGGGTCCCTTTTGTGGTACAGCACAACAGTAAACAAAGTGGTTGAGATGGATGTAGATGAAGCCAGACATTCTGTGTTGGCAACGATTCCCGAGATCAAGGATTTAAAGCCGAAACAAAGAGAATGTTTGGTGAATTTTTTCAAAGGGAGAGATGTTATTGCCCTTCTTCCTACAGGATTTGGCTCATTACATACACCACAACCAAATAGCAGCAATTGGTTAAATAAAAAAAAGTACCTGCCTATTGTTGAGCAAACGAATTCTAATGCTGCAAGGTCAGACGATTTCCACAAAGTGAAACCGACGGATGAATCAGGCTCGTAATGTTCAAACTCAAATATAAAAGTGCCAGTTTTTGAAAAAATCCATTACAAGCTTCTGTGCTATTTACAAAATTGTATGGCTTTCTTTTTCCTTATTATAAATAATACTAGATTTGTATTATTATCTTGTAGACAGTATATTTCCCGCCCTTATTTCTCTTTTTTCATGCATGCTCACATTCACCCCAGTGTTTATACATGACACATGTAGTGCTTTTATGCGTGACATGGACCGCTCTGAACTTAACCTAGTTTCTGGTTGAAAACAGTGACTGTGGCGGCGGCGGCTCTTCAGGCAGGCTGAGTGTTTCTCCCATGTGAAGTCCTGAATATTTGATGGGATGCTCTCTTTCTGCACCAGAACCAGCAGCTTCTTTGTGTGAAT